GCGTCATTCCTGCACTCATTTCCATAGCTGTCAGCAGCCTCACTTTCACAGGAAGACTTTCAAACTGGCTGTAATTAGTGCCGCCCAAAATAAAACAATGTCATTCGCCCATTCCGTGACATTGTTAAATGAACAATCAAAGCTCGAGGGTACCTTTCTCCAATACCTATAAGCCATCTGACGACTTTTTCTGAATTGCAAATCACACCTGATGGATGTTTTGTTGGTCGGTGACTCATATGAATGATAAGTGATGATGAAATTCTCCATACCATATGTACATAATAATTCCACCATGTTAGGAAAAGTTGTTTTGAGATGTTTTTCACTTCTCTGCAAACTCTGTTTTACATTTATGAAGCACAGCTGAGGTTTGGGGGTAAACATTAGCGGTCTCTTCTCTGTTTACCGTCTGCAATGCTCTTGAACTGACCCTAAATGCACTGACCCTCAAAGCTAATCAAAATAGAATCCCAAAACGATGGCTTGTAGGTTACATGGGTCATGTTTTGAAAATTCACTAAAGGGAATCTTCATATCTGAATGTGACAAACCGGGGGAGCTTCTTCTTTTGCTTGAATATGCTTGTCAGTGTGGATTCAGATCATAAAGCAGTACCATCATCTTTTCCTTACAAAAACCTGCTACAGGAACCCACCTTGGGAGAAGATAAACATATAAATATGTTTTATTAGTATGAGAAGAGTAGTTCATTGGTGTGGTGAACCTTCTCACTACATTAAGGTCTACACAGCATATGAAAGCCCATCAGTCAATTCTGAATAGCATCATATTTCACAAGGAAGCATTCATAGCAATGAATAAAAATGCATTTTTCTGATGCATAAATCCACGGAGCAATGCTCTTCTATGATGTTACGCAATTACAGCATAAATACATTCAATCCGCACTTGGAAAATGTTATTTCTGAAAACACTGGAATCTCTTCAGCCTGGAATCTTCATGAATGATTTGACATCTATGTTGCGCCTGCCTCACAAATGTGGGGTTGATTTCCAATAGGCCCTCAAAGCCATGAATCAGGAAGGGCCTCTTCTTCTCTTGAATTACTCTCTCATTTACTTTCTATTTGATTATCACACAGACTGATTACCTTTTCAAGGTACGGCACAGCACTCTGCAGTTTTTCTGGGCAGGGACTATTAGCCGCGGCTCTAATAATTCACGGTGAATGGAAATTTTATTCAGCGTACTGTTGCCCTCCAAGTCTATTGGGAAACACCAGCGTCCTAGTTAAAGAAGAAAATGGAACCCTCTGTCCATACTGATGAGGAGAAGAGAGGTCCTCACAGAAAAACAAAAGAGGACATCCGCACTCTATAGCCCCAAAGTCCACACAACAAGCCCGCTGTGGGCGTTCTCCAGGGACTGGGAGCGATCCTTCAAAGTCCCTCTGTTCTCCGGCCGTGACTGAAATAATTAGGTCTACCTGTGCTGTATGAATAGACTTTAATGAGGAGGCTAGTGGCAGAGCTCACTCACTTTCCAAGCTATATTCATGAAGTAATCCAAGCCAGGCCCAGACCATGACACTTCCCAATGATTTAGCATTTTGCATCAAATTCAGTTTTTCATTGCTTCCATTCAGTATCAGTTAGCCTAGCACAGACTAATCCATTCAACCCCAGAATTTTCTTTTGCTTGTAAAGCTTTTTATTGAAAGATAAACTATAAGTTAAATTATTTTTTTTAACCAGATTTTTATGTGGTGTTATTAGTCACATGACCAGAGACATATACTTCAAGTTTACACCTGTGAAAGATGAGCTCAGAAGAAAGTTAGTAAAATATGTTATAATAAAGATGCAACTGCCATATTTGGTACATATCATTTTTAAAGGGTATATGATTTATATTTTAATAAGATTGGGCTGCCATGCGTTTATTTAATATAGCTTGACATTGTCTGAAGTTTTGGATATGCTAGAACATGAATAACCAATAGAGATTAAACAGAGCATGTCCATCATTATAACAATATGTTGCTTCAGGGTATGTTTTTTATTATCAATAAAGTTATTTTACTGTTTTAAATGCCTTGTGTAATTGGGTATAATTCAAATCATAAAGCAGTACCATTGTCTTTTTGCTATAATCTGCTACATGAACCCATCTTTGGAGAAGTTATTTTGTTTTGTCGGTGTGAGATGAGTTTCTTGGTGTGGTGTACATTTTCACTACAATAAGGTCTACGCAGCATATGAAAGCACATCAGTTAATTCTGAACCACCATATTTTACACGGTAACATTCATAGCACTGGATAAAAATGCATTTTTCTAGTGCATAAATCCACAGGGCAATGTTCTTCAATGATGTTAGGCAGTTACAGCATAAATACATTGAATCCAGAGTCATTTGTGTCAAGTATGCACCTGAGAAAGATGAGCTCCAAGGAAAGTTAGTAAAATACAGTAGTTGCATAATGATGCACCTACTGTATTTGGTACATATTGTCTTTTAAGGTTATATGATTGATGTTTTAATACAATTGCACTGCCATGTTTATATAATGCTCACAGGAGATGTAAACATGTAAATGCTCAAAACTATGACCAGTGGGATAACACAGTGGCTCACATTTGCTGTTGATAGTACTAACTATCAATCATTTTAGTCCTCATAGCTTGACTTTGTCTGAGGTTTTGGAAGTGCTGGAACAGGACAAACCAATAGAGATTACACAGAGCACTTGCTTCGTTATATAAATATGCTGCCTCAGTTCTTTTTATTGTTTATCAATTTAATTTTTTAATTTTTTGTGTAATTGGATCTAGCTGAACTGATGTTTAACTGATGCAACTTTTGACTTTTGTCTCTGTTTTTTCCTAGCAACTTAGTTATTAACCTTCCTAGCAGAGAAATAACTTTTGTTTTTGGCATAATTTGAAAATGCCTGTTGCCTTTTACATTGTGTGAAAATTTCATGATGAATGGACCAAAAGAAAAGGCTGGTTCCACTGACTTACATTAAAAGTAAAGTATGTTTTTCCTTGTCCTGTAAAGTTACCATTTTGGAGATGCGAGGTTTTCTTCTGATAACAGCGATATACCAGCATGGTATACCAATAATGGTACCTGGTCACCAGCAACACTAGCATATGTTGTGTTTTGGATGCTGGTGTGCTGGTCAGCAGCAATGGAAGCTGATATGCTGATCACCACCAAAACCAGTATACGTTGTGTTTTGATGCTGGTATCCTGATGAACCAGCATGACCATGCTGGGGTGACCATCTACACCAGAACCAGACTGTTCTGTGCTGTTTTTTTCAGTTGGGGTGGCACAAAAACAAAATATACATGTTCACCAACTTTTCCAAAGTAATTTCTGAAAAGGCATACTGTTTATATCATGAGGAGTCAAATTCATATGCTCCAATAGTTGGGAAAATCTGGGATTTTATAGTTAAGAGCATGCCAACTTGGTGAGCATTAGCATAGTAATGCAGGGATAACCTAGGCCTACAGATTTTAGGCTACAGAAAGGCTACAACTTCACTAAAGTATTGTAAGTGTTCTCTTTAATATGTAAGTAAGCGTAAATGCAAATAAATAGCCTAATGTAGACTTTGTTGTGCAAAAATGTGAAGGAAAGTTATTATGAACCTGTTATTCTCATTTGCATTTGCCTGAGGTGTCCTCAGTTCCTTCATCTAAATGAGAAATTTAAACAGCAGCTCCACCCAGTGGATAAAGTCAGAACTACTCTATACATGCAGTAAGTGTGCTAGTGCAGTCTTCACCAACCCTTCTCTCGGAGGTCTAAATTCAATCCAAATCCAACTCACTTCATTCAGCTAATCGAGGACTTCTGAAGGTAGTTATTAATTGGGGTTGATTAGAGTTTGCAGGAGGGGAGATCTCCAGAAACAGGTTTTATGATAACCAGACTCCACATACATTAACTAAAATTATGATTGAACAAGCTATTTTCACATGACTTGCCAACCTCTACAAAATAGGAATACACTTCAGTTGTTTGCAGTTGAAACAGTTGCTGATCAGATAATGTTCCTGTATGGTAATAACCTTCAGTTATCAAGAAGTTTGTGTGACTACATTCTCCCTCACAGCCCACCAAACTGAAAGATGACCCATGTCCTCAGCCTTGTTATGGATGCACTTCAAACTCTTGATGACAGAGGTGTGCCTGGAGGTTTCTCGGTCATGAAGAAGAAGAAGAAGAAGAAGAAGAAGAAGAAGAAGAAGAAGAAGAAAAGAAGAAGAAGAAGAATGCAAAATAGGAGAACAAGAATCCAGCACAGTTTGGTGATTTCCGGTTCAAAACACGCATTTCAACATAACAGTTTAAAGGGCCTAATACTAGAATATAATAAGGTATCTGTCATGTTATGTAATATTCTGTAGCACAGCAATGTATTCCTCAGCCTTTATTTATTTGTTTCTGTAACTATCAGGTTTACCAGATGTGTTAGAGCAGAAAAATGGATTGTGTTGGTGCCTGGCCCTCCAATCAGTGAGACAAATGCCATACTGTCAAATTGAAATAAGTAAATAATTATAATGATAATACAAATGATATCTTGTCAACTTTATTAATTCTTTTGTGTGTACATGTATCTTCATTCTTTCTTTTTGCTTCCTGTATACTAATATATATATATATATATATATATATATATATATATATATATATATATGTGTGTGTGTGTGTGTGTGTGTGTGTGTGTGTGTGTGTGTGTGTGTGTGTGTGTGTACGGATCATATACTCAAGTCAAACATAATTTTTATTGTCGTAAGATAGAAATGATGTCTTTGAGAGTCAATGAGTAGTCAGTGGATTAAAGGGGCCTAATTTCTTTTCAGAAACGTTCAGAGAAAAACACTCAATCAAATTAATAGATATTAAATCTCCTCGTTTTGCCTACAGAGAGCACACATGTGCGCAGTACGTAGTGCTCGAGTCGGGACGCATCGTGTGACGTCAAAGCGTCGTGACGACGCATAGCACGTGCAAACAGCAACATGGCCGCGTGCAGCGTGGAAGACGTGCTGGCCAAAGCGGAGCGAGAAGAAGCGGAGAAACTGAAGAGCATCACGGTGACAAAGGAGCTGGAGCTGGAGTTCGATGTGGGGAACCTGCTGGCGCTGGATAAGAACCCGGCGGTGCTGAGAGACCCGCACCGGGACCGAGAGGAGCTCCTGCGGGCGCTGGCGCGAGACAACGCGCAGCTGCTGGTGAACGAGATCTGGAAGCTGCCGGCGGAGCGCGCGGACGACGTGCTAGTGGTGAAGCTGCCGGAGCCGAGCACCAGGCTACCGCGCGAAAAGCCCCCTCCCAAGGCAAGACCCCCAACGAAATGGGAGCAGTTCGCCAAGCTGAAGGGGATCCAGAAGAAGAAGAAGACGAACCTGGTGTGGGACGAGGTGCACAAGGAATGGCGGAGGCGCTGGGGCTACAAGCGGGCCAAGGATGACACTAAAGAGTGGCTGATCGAGGTGCCCGAGACGGCGGACCCGAACGAGGACCAGTTCGCCAAGAGGAACAAAGCCAAGAAGGAGCGAGTGGCCAAAAACGAGTTCAACCGCCTGCGCAACATCGCACGGGCTACCAAAACGAAGGTGCCCGGGATGGGGCTCGCACCGCGGGCGCAGCAGTCCAAGAACGAGCTGGCTCAAGCCATCAGCGTGGCCAAGACCGCCACAGCTTCGGTGGGCAAGTTCCAGGAGCGGCTGCCTAAAGAAAAGGGGCCCAAGAACACTGGGAAGAAAAGAAAGTTCCAGCCTCTGCTGGGAGACTTCAGCAGCGAGAAGCAAAAGCAGCTGGAGCTGCTCAAGGTGATGGAGAGTAAGAGACCAAGAGTGGACATGACCAAAGCAGTGAATAAACAGATAAGGGAGGAAGAGGAGGAGGAAGGGAGGGCAAGAAGGAGTAAAGGGGTGGGGAAGAAGGGACGGAGAGGGAAGGGAAATGCCGCAGGTGGAAAAGGAAAGGGGAAAGGTTCCAAGGGCCCCAAAGGCCCCAAAGGTGGCAAAGGACGAAACCCTCGCATGAAGCAGGGGAAGCGTTGAGATGAACTTGTTTGTGCTTCAAACTGATCTGCTTGTCATTATGTCACATGTTCCCAGTCATGGTCCTGGAGTATCTCCTGTCCTGCACTTTTTAACATTCATCTGCTCTAATGCATCTATGTCCGCTCAGGAAGGTCTTGTTAATGAGCAGAAGAAATACTGAAAAGTAGAGGTCAGGGGATACTCCAGGACCACCAGAGTTAGGAATCACTGCACTGTGTGATGATTGTTGAACTCCTTGAGGTCCAGGGTCCAGCATACTTGAATGATTTCTTTGCTCATACACTTCTTATTGAACTCTTTATTTCAGAACCAGGTTTGGTTGATGCGGGCACAGAAATGAGCCAAAATGTGCTGGACTCTTGCCATCTGTGACCAGATCTGGCAGCATCTCTGGCTTGACAAGATGTGACGAAGTGCCTTGTGTTTGATGTTGAACAAGGGGGTGTTTTTTCAAGGCAGGCCCTGTATTCATGAAGCTTCTCAGATCAGGATTCATGATCTAGGATCTATTCCTGTCAGTAAAGGCACAGTTAATAAGATCTTATATCAGCGGTCCTGCTCTGAGAAGCTTTGTGAATATGGGTTTTTCACCTTAGCCTATAATATAGAAGATCTGAGGAATATTTCTACTGAACAGCCCTTAACTTTGGGCCTAGGTTATCTGGCTGATTAATCCTGATTTGTGAAATATCCCTCAGGCATTATAATGGTATACTTATTATTATTTTCAACCTGAAGACCTCTATACAAATAAAAAAAATGGAACTGCTCTTCCATTATGACTGTATAATTTGTCACTGTACATATTATATACATTTTATTTGTAATGCGTTTTCTCCTGAGTGAATCTGGAGAAGCTTTTGTTTTCAGTGCCCTCAATTATCATCAACCCTATGGACATTTTTCACAGTATTTTCTTGAATAAATTTTGTATTCGGTGTGATACTTGATCATATGCTGCACAGTTGTCTAATAGGGTGGTATAGCGGTCATCCATAATTTTCAGCATTTCTTTATAATGTAGTTGCTTCTGTAATGCTTCACATCTTTGTATTAAATTGCAAGGATGATTCAGCTGAAAAGCATTTATTTAGTCTGTCTGTTGCTATTAATGTGCTTTCCTCGAACTGTACCTCATTTAATCCGGTTTACAGATTAGCCGCAGCACCCATTATGCAAACCACCACGAAAGTGCCTGCAGTGAGAGGAGCTTGGACACATGCAGGGCCTGCAGTAAATAGACAAAAGCAGGTAAATATACTGAGGTTGGCATTAAAAGCAGTACAATCATTAGCAGCATTAAGTGCACCCCAGAATATCAAAGTAGATAAATATCACAAGGATTTTAGTGCCCTCTTGTGGTTCTTGTATGATATTGCATTCTGATTGCCATTGTAGTCACAGACATTGTTTAGCCAAAGGCCAAAACTGAGCCTTACAAAGATACATCAGAGCTACCACACAGAAAATCATTAGTGGGTCCCTTTATATTCTTCTAACAGCTTTGTGCTGAAAGTTGTTCAATCAGGCTGCACACAACACTTTCTCTGAACGCTGCGGAAGAGCCTGGATGTGCCCCAGCTCTTGCTTGAGGATTAGGAGTTAAAACGGAGTGTAATTTATAGGTGTACTGGGCCTTCAGTCCAGCAATGAGGTCAACAGGCTGTTAGTTTCATCAGACCTATTGTTTGCTAATTGCTCAGCACAAACGATACTCCACATCCTCTCCCTTTATCACTGTTTGGGGTCAGGAATGTCAGAAATGTCTCAGAGACAGGAAACTGACAAACTGATAACCTTCTTTAAGATCTTAGTGGTGCTATTTGCTTGCTGTTAATACCAGATTATTCATATAAGTCTGAAATGTCATGATTATTTGATATTTTTTAATTTATTGGTTAAAATGTACCTTCTTGGTGAATCTCTAATAATTAGCAATTTGCATGACAATAATGCATATTTTAAATTCTACACACTTAAAATTATTGGTCTCTTTAAGGGTTCTTTAGTAAAGAAAATGGTCCTATATAGTACAGTGAACACTTAAAGAACCCTTTGCATGATTAATCAGTTCTTTGCATGGTCAAAGAGTTCTTCAGATTGAGGAAGAATGTGCTGTATATGTTTCTATATAGCACCAAAAGGGTTTTTCTATTATAACAAGCTTGACATTGTAACAATAGAAGAACCCTTTTTCAAAAAGGTTCTATGTAGAACCATATACAGCACATTTGCCATCAATCACCATGCAAAGAACCCTTTGATCATGCGAAGGGTTCTTTGAGTGTTTATGGTACTATATAAAACCATTTCTTTACTGAAGAACCCTTGAAGAACTATCATTTTTAAGAGTGTACTGGTCTCTCTTACAGTACGAAAGGACACTCATTTATATGCATTTTTTGCCACATAGTATTACTACATATTTATAATGTCTTTTAAAAGGTGTTTTTAAAGGTACTTTATCTCCAACCCATGTGGTATGTAAACATTGTTAAAGTTTCATAAGTTAACATTCACTCCCCCTCCATATGGAAGCTAAGCTGCAAAAACAGCTCATTTTTCATTGTTTTGGTTGCGAAAACCAGCATATGTACATATATCCACCTGTTCACCCTACAGCAGTTTAGCCCCGCCCACTCACTTTGAAGTTATAGGGAGTGTTTCAGCCTGCTATTTGTATACTAGCCAGCCAGTCAAAACGGAGATCATTTACATATCCAAGTCTGTAAAACGTAGTAACAAAAACAGCCTGAGAAGTTGGAAGTGGCCATGTAAAAATTAATTATGGCTCCTCACAAAAAATAAAATATGACAGAAATGTTGGTTTTTATTGTTTGCCTTTTTTTTAACAAAAAAAAAAAAAACTGGTTACTTGGTTAAAAAAGAATTCTGAAAATTTTTCAGAATTTCTGCATAATTACAATAAGATTTAAAGAAAGTCATTAAGAGTGGACATCAAATATGAACTCGAGGAACTTGCCGAGTCAGAATTTTTACAGTGGTGATAAGAACCAGACATCGGAATCATTTAATGCCTCTAAAAGCTACTTCACAGAACACTGTTACATGGAATGGATATGAAAATGCTGTCTGATGGCAAATTTTAGCCTTTTTTATATAGTGAGGAGATACATGCAGGGCATTGCAAGGCAAAGTAGTCCCCAAAGAAACCTTATATTTTTCAGATTTGCCACTTTTTTACCATTATCAACACACATACACACACACATTATCTAAGCCACTTATCCTTGTGGGTCTCAGGGGGTGCTGGAGCCTATCCCAGCAGTCATACACCCTGAACAGGCTGCCAGTCCATCACATATAAAAACTCATGTCGGTTCACTTTTGGATAGTAAATAAAATGGCTATATTTGTGTTGTAGATATGGTGACCTCTGGTTCCTATTACCACCACTGTAGAGATCGGAGTCTAAATTTCTTGACAATAAACCATTTTGTATCAAAGCACTCTGAATTTTGTTTACATCTTAACTATTTTATTATGCAATAATTAAAAAAAATCTGGAATTCCCCTTTAATTGTCAAAACTAAGTAATGTTATTACTTTATTCAATATAATGTATAGTGGCAGCTTTAAACATCATTGCTCCTCTTTACTTACCGAGAGATTCATTACTCAAAAAAAGTCTTTGTTTGCCCTTGTTAATGATGAGATTTCTCTTCCAGCACCAAAAAACATTTTCCCCTTTTGAAAACAGATGCACGTCCCGTGTCTACATGTTAATGTTTATGTAAAGTTGGCGGGTCTTTCTGAATGACAGCATAATCTATCCTTCGTTCATTTGATGGATGCTGTTTGACCACTGACACCAGTCCGTAGGGAAGCCGAGGGATTTGGGGGTGGGAGGTTGGGGGGGGGGCAGTCCATCTGTTGACTGCTGTAATAGCGGTCAAAACAGCAGCTATTAACAATCACTATCCCACCTCACTGGACAGAAATATGGGACACTGTCAGCATCAAAATCAATCAGGCTCTCCAAGCTGAGGCTGGCTGACCCATATTGAGCTGGAAGTAGCCTCGGCCTGTCTCATACAAGCAGTGGGCCAGATGGAGAGAGAGCAAAGGTCAAACATTTTTAATTGAGTTTGAGGGTTTTTTTTTCTGCAATTCTTGAAAAGACTGCAAATCTCTTTTGTTGCTGCCTTGTAGACTTGTAGATTTGCAAAATGACAAAAAAATTGATAAACAGCATTACAGTGCTACTTTAATATGAATTAAATGGAAAAAAACTGAATCTGACAGCGAGATGAGCAGCCATTGAAAACTTTATTTTCTTAAAAAAAAAGTAATTGTGTTAAATTTGTAGAAAAAGAATTCTAATGTAAATGTACATAAAAGGTTAGCTAAACTGCATTGCAGTAATACTTTAATGTTAATGAAAAGAAAGAAAAACACTGAACAACAGAATTAAAGAGCTTATATCCTACATTCTTTTTTGTAGTTTTATTTCTTTCCCCGAGATAAATGTTTAAATATTTGTGTGAATTTATGAACCAAAAACAATCATAATTTATTTTTACATGACTATTTTTCAGCCTTTATCCCTCAGAATTAAACAGGCTGTTTTGTTCCTGTGCCTTTAAGCCTGATACATTTAAATGAGCTCTGTTCTGATTAGGTGCCCTGTATTGTACCTAAATCAAAAAGTAGTCCAGGCTAAACACTCCTTATAACTTCAACATAAATGGGCAGAGCTAAACTGCTATAGGCTTAATAGGCAGATACATAGTTGTATGCAAACCTGTGAACACCCCTGGTCAAATGACCAGTTTTATTGATTTTCTAAGTGAAAATAAGTGAACACATCCTCTACAGAGAACACACCTCTGCATATTTAAATGCACAATTACTATTCATTTGCTAAATTTAACATACTGAAAAAATAACAAATGTAGCTTGTGCAAAAATCATGGCATATTTTATATATTATATTTTATTTTTTTCCAACATGTTTAACCTGGCAAAAACAGACGTATTGCAGTAAATTTGCAGATGTTTGCCATATTTAAGTTTGTTATCTGTAGGGACTGTTGTTACTTCAATTCAACAAAGCTATAAATTGACCAGCGGTGTTTACACTTTTGCATACAGCAGTAGGTAAGTGAGATGGATTTTGTGACATCACAAAAACAATGAATTAAAAACCAAACTTTTTGCAGCTTACTTTCTTTATATGAACTGTATGGACTGAGGAGGGAGCAGTACATTTTAAACTTTAAACAGTGTTTACACACTACATGAAACTCTTTTAAAAGTGAGGAAAATTTGTTTTTTCTGAGATATAGGCCCTTACAATTCAAGGACAGGCGGTCATGTGGGGAAAAAAATCAAAGAAAGAAAAAATATAATTTATTTGACTTTTTTATTAGGTTTAATTTATAATTAGCAATGCAACTAGCAATAAAAAAATTAATGCAATAAAATTGTTATAAAATTTATTTACATTAAATTGGCCAAAAAACAAAGAAGAAAAACAGAAAAGAAAAACTTCACAAGCCAGTTTCCTAGATTCAGATTCAGCCTAAGCCTTTCTAGTGGTGACTCACTATGGTCAGCATAATTTAGTCTAAGACTAGGCTTAATCCATGTCCAAGACACCAGCCCAATACATTTTGGGGATTTCAAAATTGCTCTAGAGTCTAAAACCAAGGATAAGGCTTTCCAGTCTCTTTTCAGTGCATCATTTTCTTGGCTGGAATAAATTCATTTGCGGTGTGCCAATATGCTGCAAACTACAAGCTACATATGGAGTAGCACACGCTACTGTATTCATCATGCAGCATTATGGTCAACAGCATGTGGTAGAGAATTTGGACCGAGTCACAGTGTTACCAAATAGTGTCACAGGGGCATGAATGAGATCCAGTGAGATTTGTGCTGGAGCGATTGAAGGCGTGTGAGTGCTGTGCCAGGCCGTAGCCCTAAATATCCTCAGCAGTGGATTAGTGAATGGAGTTTATTTAAAGGAGATCGGGAGAGCGGAGGAGAGTCAGTGTGTCCAACAGACGCAGGACTCAAGATGCAGCACATATACATGCAGAGCAATGAACACTTTGAAGTTTTCACCACTGTCTTCTCTCCACAAGGTTAGTAATGCAGTATAATTTTATATACATGTATGTTATTTTATATACATATTGTATTACACAGCTTGTATTGTACATACTGCATAAATCCTTGTGCTGTTCACCAGACAGATCAGTGCAGTAGGACTTATTAATTAATTCCATTGCATGTGCTTAAAGTTATAATACATTTAGACCAGAAGGTTGCATTTGTACAGCATTTATGGAGCTGACATGTATGTTGAATTGCATTTTATAACCTGTTGACTGCTAATTCTGTATGTACAAATGATATGTTTGTTCTGGTTGTGCATTTTGACAGTAAGCAGATCAAGGCATCGGTACAGACATGAAGAACCAGATAAGGTATTGATAAGGTTCCTGTTCTATAATAGTACATAGGAACGCAATTGTGACTTACTGTCACTGTACTATCATTGCAGACCATGATATCATATTTCAGTCAGACTCATCTTACAAAATCTTGCAAAATGACATAAAATATATGTAGATATATAAAGTTATATGCACAATTACTGTGCATTTGTTGAATTAAAAAAAAACAACCAAAAATGCATTCTGTAAAAGAGTTATGGCACCCCTTCCTACACATTTCACACTTCATCCCAAGCCTATCTTTAAAACTCTGTATAAAGCATAACTTAGTGCACTTGGGTCACTGCTGAAAGTGTGAAATCACTGAATTATGTACCTAGACTCAGGTACTTCAAAATGATATACAGCTTATAGGACATTACAAAAGACATAGGCCTATATTTATACCTTGCCATTGTATTGTCTTGCAAGACTGTCTATATATTACTATGAAATGGCTCTATTACTATATGGAATTACCATACAGTAGTTCCATACAATATGTTTTAGGCCATAAGCTAATTATCTAAACTAACATAAAACAATATCTTAGGCGTTTTATTTGTAACAAATTCATGTAATAGCTTTCTGTGAGGGAGCTTTTAGATGCTGCAGACGTCTGGTTCCAATTACCACCACTGTGAACACCTCTGACTTGCTAAGATTATCTAGAATGGCATTTCAAACCACTCTGACTTCATGATTTTCTTCAGAAAATAAAAAAATGGTGGAATTCGCCTTTAAAGAAAATCCTTCCCCATCTCTAGCATGCACACCCATGGCCAGATCTACCATATGATTAACCAGGACGAGTGCCAAGGGGCACCAAACGCTTGCTCAAAAACGTGTACAGTTTTAAGTGAGTTTAATCTGTTAACGTAACACTTTCTGAAACATTCAGTTTATGTTTATAATCCAGCCATAGATATAAATAAACAAACGGCATTGTCAGTGTGTCAAATTTGTTGTACAGGGGCGTGTGTGTGGATAAAACGTAGACAGGATCATTTTGGCATCTTCTAGTGATCTTCTCACCCTCTCATTGGCATAACCGACCGAACTTGACAAGATCTTAGCTGAGGAATCAACTCTGATTGTGTTTAGATATTTTGTGAAGAAATAGAACGAGTCTTTAGCAAAACCAAGACCTTTTCAGCAAACAGTGTTATTATCAGTGGGTTGTGCACTATAGCTCTAATGTTCAGGGACACCACAGGATCTTAATCTTAATCAGCTGTAGGCATTCTGCAGAATGCCTTGTCAGCATTGATTTAGTCCATTGCTGAGTGTTTTGAACCTCCTCGATGCTCTAGTATCTATATTGGGCCAGTCAGTGATTAGCTTTGTAAGCGCTTTGCTAAAGGTGCAAGTAATCTAGGCTAGGAGAGGATTTAGTCGTCTTTGAATTTAGAGCCAACTAATCCTTGTTCTTTTAAACAGCTTATCCACTCCAGTGACTTAGGCCTTTTGAGATCAAGTGGCAGCCAGTTGCACTGCGCTGGATGACTTTAAACTTCTCAGAATTTGCTCATTCCAGTCTGTATTCATATGTGACACGTCCACTAGGTGGTGGTGACACACAGATACGTCCCCCAGTGGCCCGATGAAGTGGAGCTCACTCAGGGTGATGTCATCCAAGTCCTTTCCAAACACGAAGAGTCGAGGTGGTTTGGGCGGCTGCAGAGCGGTCAGCAGGGCTACTTCCCTGCCTCCTGTGTCATTGAGCTGAGTCATAATGTACACCATGTAAGTAAAGGCGAGCTGCCAGTTCAGGCCTTCTGCTGGTGCATTCTTGAAAGTAAAAAAGGGTTCTTTGTCTTTGCAATAGAAGAACCACTTTTGGTCTCCTAAAGAACCTTTGGTAACACTTTACTGAAGGGCAGTATTCACAAGGCTACATAACACCTACATAAACATTTATAAAGGCTTTGTCAAACAAGCATCAGTTGTCATAAAGGCTACATTTGTCAATTTTTATGTCACTTTTGAGCGTTGAGTATTCTATGACTAACACTTGTTGGAATAAGCTTTTGTAAATACCTGTACAGGTTTATGTCAGTTGTCATGAAAGACTTATGCAGGTGTCGCGTAGCCTTATGAATGCTGCCCAGCATTAAAGCGTAACTCAGTAAAGCGTTACTAAGCATTTTAGTGGATCATTTTTGGGAATGAGATGTGCAAGTGTAAAGAGTATTCATAAACTTTAAAGATCTTTCATATAAAAAAGCTTCTAAAGTTTCTATATCAATTATAGAACCATACATCCAAGCCAAGGACCACTGAGGGACATTTATTTACTGTTTTATTTAAATATACTTTAAATATATTTAGTGAAGCTCTCTGAGCTGCATTTTTGTGTATGAAAGGTGCTATATAATATTTATTTATTTATTTATTTTAGAGCTTATAACACTGGCTCCCCTACGTATAGTACTGTGCAGAAGTATTTAGATATCTTAAAATTATATTTGGAGCTATTTATCTTGATAATTTGCTTGGACAAACACCACATTCATAAGAAAGGATGGTTCTTCAAGGTTTCTTTTGTAAAGAAAGTGGTTCCATATAGAACCATGAACAGTCAAAGAACGCTTTGCATGATTAAGGGGTTCTTTGCATTGTGAACGTGTTCTTCAGATTAATGAAGAATATGCTGTAGATGGTTCTATATAGAACCTTTTTTGAAAAGAGTTCTATATGTCACTGACTTTTGCTCAGCACTGTACGTTAGTTGAAACATTTGTTTCATAATGAATGTGAGCTACTCTGAAGCTGAATAATGTGAACTTATTATCACAGTAATTTATGTCACAATATGTTTTCCTGAGTATGTCATGGGTAGAGTCAGTACTTCTAGAACAACTGCATATGTCATAAATATGACAACAATGACCTGTAAACAACAACAACCAGTATACAGTAACTGCAACAAGTAGCTGATTGAATGTATCATCATATTTTGTTAATTGATTTTTATTCATTGTTTGACCCTTCTTTCCTCCTGATGTTCTTTTAAATAGATTATTGAAGCAAATGTTCAATAAAATAAAATATGTTTCTATAATCCTTTATAGCCTTTTCAAACCTGACACCACAACTAAAACGTGATGCAAGCTTATATCATCCATATTGCGTATCATGATGATAATATTGATATCGCCCACCCTTAGGCTGTCCTGTAGCGTGTGTGACAGTGCAGAAATGAGTTTGTTACATAAAGAGGTGCAGTAAGGTCAGTATTAGAATGGAGTTAATCCTGTTGTACTGTGACCTGATCTGTACTGTTTGTGTTCCTAGAGGGATGAGGCTGCTAAGAATGGCAGAGGCTTACGGAGACACAGTTCGGTTCACGTTGGGGCCGCAGAGTTCCTCGGGGACTGTGCAGGGTGAGTGTGTGTGCATGTGTGTGTGTTTGTGTGCCCATCCACCCCCCCCACTCTGCTCCACTTCACTGCTCTTGCCTTCATCAGCACCCCCTCCAGCCCCCTCTCAGCGCCCACCCAAAGCAGCTGCTCCCCTTCCAAACCCACCACACCCCAAACAGGTGGCTCATCTCATAGCTCATTAGCTAACAATGCGCACAAACAGCACACACACCACATCTGATCAATTCTGAGGCAGCTAGAATCAGGCTTTTTTATCCTATGGATGTTTGAATGTCATGTGAAGTGACAGCGGCAGATGAGACATGTTTACAGACAGACAGACAGACAGACAGACAGACAGACAGATAGATAGATAGATAGATAGATAGATAGATAGATAGATAGATAGATAGATAGATAGATAGATAGATAGATAGATAGAAAGTATAGGTAAAGGAAGGAAGGAAGGAAGGAAGTTCCTTGCTGTAAATTCAGCACCATGCTCTAAAATGGAGCAGCCAGTTGTAGTTTTGTAGATGTAAAAACAGTAAGTGAGGCATTTAACTGGGAAAAAAAGATAAGAGCAAGGAAATAAAGAAAGAAAAGAAAACCCAAATTGACAATTGCTTTCTTTAAAATTGCCACACTGTTCTAAAAGGCAGCCGCCAGTTATAGCTGCTATTTTTAGATGTCATGTGGTGTGACCGTAGTAGATAGGATATTTTTACACAAAAAGAAACAAATAAATAAAGAAAGAAAGACAAGAAAACTCAAATGATAGTCGCTTTAATTTCAGCATCATGCTCTGAAGAGGAGCTGCCAATGGATTTTTGAATCTCATGTGGTGTGACAGCAGTGAAAGAAAGAAAGAAAGAAAGAAAGAAAGAAAGAAAGAAAGAAAGAAAGAAAGAAAAATTGCTTTCTTTAAATTCATCACTGTACTCTAAAAAGGAGCTGCCAGTTGTAGTTGTCTGTTTTTTGGGATTTTTGTATGTCATGTGGTGTGACAGTAACAGATAGGACATTTGTACAGCTAAATAAATGAGTAAATAACTAAGTAAGTAAGTAAATAAATAAATAAATAAATAGTAAATAAGTAAGTAAGTAAGTTTCTTGCTGTAAATTCAGCACCATGCTCTAAAAAGGAGCAGCCAGTTGTAGTTTTGTAGGTTTTTCAATGTCACTATGGTGTGACATATTGTAAAAGCACTACCTGGGGCATTTCACTGGGAAAGAGAGACAGGAGGAAGGAAATAAAGAAAGAAAAGAAAACCCAAAATAATAATTGCTTTCTTTAAACTTGGCATCCTATTCTAAAAGGCAGCCGCCAGTTATAGCTGCTATTTTTAGATGTCATGTGGTGTGACAGTGTAGATAGGATATTTTTACTCAGAAAGAAAGAAAGAAAGAAAGAAAGAAAGAAAGAAAGAAAAGTGCTAATATATTTTTCAATGTCATGTGGTGTGACAGCAGTGAATAGGACTTTTTTACAGGGAAAGAAAGAAAGAAAGAAAGAATGAAGGAAAAAAGGAAGAAAGTAAGAAAGAATGAATGAATGAATAAAGGAAGGAAAAAAGGAAGAAAGAAAGAAGTCAGAAAGAAAGCTGCTCTAAAAGGAAGCTGCCAATTCTAGCTGCTATTTTTGATTGAGATGTGACAGCAGATAATTAGCATTTTCAGTTGTTTAAAAAGAGGCATGGCTCTGTCTCTAAATTATGTTATATATTCACACTCAAAACATAATTACAATTGCATTTAATGTCCATATCTGCTAACTTTACTATGCGAATGTGATTGAAGGGAAATGTGTAGCATCATTAAATTAAATTCATACAATTAATTTAAGTGCAACACCTCACCTCAAAAGCAGCCACCACAGCTTAGCCAATAAGAAATGCATATCCGCCCTGTCGTGTCTCACTGTTCACTCTCACTGCTTGTAAAAATGCCTGTGAGCTGACGCCCACAGCTTGAGTAGCTGCACAGAGGCCAGAGGTGTTTCAAAAAAGCAGGATTTCTCTGTTAGTCAGATAACTTCATGTCAGATAAGTTAAGCCGGTCTAATGAGAAGAGGGGGAAATCATGTTTTTGTTACAGTCCTTTGTCTGGGCTTTCTATTTTACTAAAAAATCCTGCTTTGTTTGTGTAGTGGAGGTGTGTTGGGCCTGATTAGACATTAAAAGTGCCCCTCTTGCCGTGAGTAGTGAGAGCCCCCACTGCTGAGGCCTAAACAGCCTGCCCCTTGTCTCTCTCTCTCTCTCTCTCTCTCTCTCTGCCTCTCTCTCTCTCTTTCTCTCTCTCCCTCTCTCTCTCAAAGCGCTGGAATCTGGGTCAGCGGGAATAAACAGCGCCTTTGTGCTTGTTGTTTCCTCTTTGTGTCGCCCCAGTGGAGGCAGGCCGCAGGCCCCCAGGGGAGGGGAGGAGGGTCCTTTCCTGACCCTGAAGCACGAGGCCCAGGCCGCGGCCCCCAGCTCCCCCAGCCTGCTCCACAGGATCCTGTCCAAACATCGCAGGAAGAGCCACAGCCAGGGGGCCAGCAATGGGGCCTTTGAACCCGACTGAATCCCCCCGGCCTGCAGGACAGCCCGCCGCTCATCGCACAGCAGAATGTCCCATACTAAAGTGGAACATGTTGACAATACATTACATTACATAACAGCTTGCTCTGATAAACTGAAAAGTTATTTTTTCACCACACCTGTATCATTCTACCAACCAACAGTTGCTAAGCAACAACAATTCTTGGTTTCATTTAAGCTGTTGAAGTCAATTATTTTTTTGTTGTTGGGGTTTTTTTGGCAAAAAGTTTAAAAACATAGTTGAAACAATGTTTGGGATGCTAAAGTTAGCACCATGCTCTAAAATAAAGTAACACATTCTCTATAATGTTCTATTACTTACATAAAGTCCCAGGCTGATCATTTCAAATTCTCAGATGTGATTTCATTTTATTGCAATGCATGTTGCAATTGGAGCAAAATGCAGCAATATAATTGTAATGTGATATTGTGTCTATATAGATCTCTGAAGTCATTGTCATGTCTTTTTGTAGTCTGTGTCATGCCCAAAAAAGGAAATCCAGGCCTAATCCACTTTTCTCTTTTTTCTAATCGCCATTATTACACCCTGTGGGGTTCCAAAGTTGATATGTTTCGTCTTACATACATTTACATTCAGTGTCACAGGATTCCAAAAATGGAATGACGGCTGTTAGAAAATGACCCAAGCCAATCCTTAACAGTTCTCACTTGTAGAAATACAATCATAATATGGTATTTTGCCCATATTATGCAGTCGTAATTGACAACATACACAAATATATTCCATTTTCCTATGAGGCTCTGCAGTATGAGGGAGCTAATTTGGTATGATGAGTTGATACAGCAGCCTCCTCTTGCTCATGTATCATACTAGAACTGTGAGTCTATGTGCACTGTTGGAGGAAATTACCAATTCCAGTGGCAGCATGACAAAAATGACAGAATGGAATATCAAGGTGCATGCTGTAAAAGACTGTGAGGAAGTGGACCAAGGACATAAATGGTAAAAGAAAACATGCTAACATAACAGGATAAAATTTCTGGAAAATGTGATGAGACTGTTTGTACTTTCAGGCCACGCTTTCTTTCACAAGTCACTAAAGTTTTCTACTACTACTTATTCCCATACGTGTGAAGTATCCAACAAGGCATTACATTTATTTTCAAAGTAAGAGTCTCTTTCAAAGTAAGAGTTTATTTTTTTCCTATTTTTTCCAGCTGTGATTTTTCTGTATTGTAATCTGCTGCATCTCATACCTGATATGTCATGGCTTAAGATGTGTTTTTTAAATAAAAATTCAAATGAAATGGTCTTTCATATTCTCCTCTCTACAATACTTTTCAAAAGTTTGAAATCACTTGTCAGTTATTTAAATAGTATAAACTACATACAAAATGTACAATAATTTTTTATATACCAATCAGCCGTAACATTAAAAGCACCTCCTTGTTTCTACACTCACTGTTCATTATGTCAGCTCCACTTACCATACAGGTACACTTTGTAGTTCTACAATTACAGACTATTTACCCTGTTCTTTAATGGTCAGGACCCCCACTGGACCACCAAAGGGCAGGTGTTATTTGGGTGGCGTACCATTCTAGGCACTGCAGTGATATTGATGTGGTGGTGGTGTGTTAGTGTGTGTTGTGCTGGTACGAGTGAATCAGACACAGCAGTGCTGCTGGAGTTTTTAAACATTGTGTCCACTCATTGTCCACTCTATTAGTCACTCTTACCTTGTCAGTCCACCTTGTAGATGTAATGTCAGAGACGATAGCTCATCCGTTGCTGCACTGTTTGTGTTGGTCATCCTCTAGTCCTTAATCAGTGGTCACAGGACGCTGGATATTTTTGGTTGGTGGACTGTTCTCAGTCCAGCAGTGACACTGAGGTGTTTAGAAATTCCAGCAGCACTGCTGTGTCTGATGCACTCGTACCAGCGCAACACACACTAACACACCACCACCATATCAGTGTCACTGCAATGCTGAGAATGATCCACCACCCAAATAATACCTGCTCTCTGGTGGTCCTGTGGGGGTCCTGACCATTGAAAGAGAGGTGAAAGAGGGTAACAAAGTATGGAAACAGATGGACTACAGTCTGTAATTGTAGAGCTACAAAGTGGTGTTACATGACAAGCGGAGCTGAGAAAATGGACAAAGAGTGCAGAAACAAGGAGGTGTTTTACATATATATATATATATATATATATATACACACACACACTATAACTTTATTTGTTTATTTATTTTTTCAATATCTGTTCTGACATTTCATCAACACTTTTCAAATATGAGACATTCTGGCAAATAATTTAATTAAAATAAATTCAACTTCATTCTCAATGTTTTACAGCTTTCTTAGTCACTTTAAAATCACTTACAGCTCCATTCATCTTTCTGGATACGTTTAAAATTTATTTACCTTTTTTTCCTGATGTTGCACAGGACCTTTTATACATTTATCTGCATGTTGGTTTTCTATTTTTAAAATATTGACTCCAAATTTAAACAGTAGGATAAAGATTAATTTGCTCTACACCACTGCCACATATATCCGATCACTAATTGCATCAGTGTAATGAGGGCAGCAGCTTACACTAAACCTTTCTTTCCATTGTGCTTGTTTCTTTGTTGCTATGAAGCAGAGCACCCAGACACATGTGGAAAACCGCCCCTTCAGCCATCACACAATAATTCCTGAAAGAATTAGTCACTAATGATTTTTTGGTTAGGACATGCCCACTTATGTGTACACAGTTCTTCTGCAGTAGCCCCTAACTCTGACAGCACAGCTGCTAAATACAGGCCACGCAATATAACGTGCTCTAAGTCAGCACAGAGTCATGTGCCATACGTTTATGGTTACCGTTTCTTCTAATTCAGCCACCTCCTCAATTAGAAGAATCTGACTTACTGCAGGTTTTACACTAATAAGGTGCTTCAAGCCATCTGTTCAGCACAGCTTAACCAAAGCCTGCAGCTTTCTCTCCTGGCTTCTGAAGCAGGCCTCTCAGAATGCTTTAATTAGTCTTAATCCAGGAGCAAACTCAGTGACTGATGATGTCACGCTGATGCCCTGCTTTTATTCTGATCTAGGCTCTTAGGGGGGGTAATGCAAGGTAATGCATATACCACAGTTCTAAAGTTTTCATCACCAGTCAAAAGTTTAGACTTTAGTTTTCAGTAAAATAAAACAAGATTTTTGTTAGGAAGTTAGGAAAATTTAAAAAATTAAAATTAGTTAAAACATTCTATACAGGAAACAAACTTAAATATGAAATTTTTTCTTCAAATGTTAGTGCAGAATTTCTATTTATTTGCTGAGTTTAACATATTGGAAAAAAGAAATTAAATGTAAAATGTGTCATAACACACAGGCCAGGCATTACACAGGCCATGATTTAGGTTTTATTTTTCCCCAATATATTAAATTCAGCAAAATAAAAAAAGAATCATGTTAAAAAGAGGATGTGTAAATGTATTTTCACTTCATCAACAAACTTCAACTGTACACTGTTCCATAATTATTAGCCCCTAGTAAAGCTGCCTTCAAAAACAGGAAAAACGTCTTTGTGGTTAATGAGCTTCCATCTCACTTTTTACCAAAGAAAGTTTAGTCTGGAAAAAAATAAATAACTTAACTAAATCAGACCTGTCAGAATTATTTACATCCTGAGACAAAATGTAACTGAAGCATGTTCCCTTTTTATTTTCATGTGAGTGTTCAAGAACTCTTAAGTAGCCATCCATCCAGCCATCCGTGACATCCATACCTGTTTTACTGGGGTATTAAAATGAGGTGACACAGAGGCCAAATTGTCTTAGTCATTCCTCAACATGGGGAAGACTGTGAATGTGCAGTTGAAAGGAAAAAAATGACTGTATTGACCTTCATAAGTCAAAAAACATTACATGCCTGAAAATGCCTGTTTTCACGGTTGGCAGTAGTTTAAAACAACCAGAGCTGTAGTGAACATGCCTGGAAGAGAATGCTAGGTGTGCTAGAAGAAAAGCTTTTCTATCTAACTTGTTCTTTTTTTCTCCAATCTCATTCAGGATTATAGAAGCAGACACTCATTGCTGTTATATTGGCAAATGAAAGTTGCACAAAGTACTAAATCCAGATGTGGCAATAACTGTGACATACTGGTTTAGTTAAAAAAAATCTTAGACTAAATTTACTTGAATTAAAAGTTATAACTCTCATATTTCCAGTGTGAGGTGGAGCTATTTAACCACAAAAACATTTTTTCATGACTTTTTTTAACCAAGAGCGCAATAATTATACAGCTGACTGTAAAATTACACAAATGATTCCAAACTTTGTGCACACATGTCTACACACATATGCCAAGTGCGCTGCAGGCTTTTTCAACTATGGCAGCTGGTACCTGGAGATCACCTGCTAGGTGAGCAGCTGCTAGGCAGGACACAGTGAGGGTTAGCACACCCCAGACACACCCAGGGTACACCATGTTCCCCCTACAGCCTTCTGCCCATTCACCAGGTGCCTCTCCTGCAGAACAGCTCTATTCACAAGTCTGTATCTGTCTCACGCTCAAAGCAGCACTTCCCGAGCTCTGGTTACACCCCCCACCCCCCAATCACTGACCACTCGGGGCCAGAGAATTGCATGGGCAAATGGCAAAAAACAAAACACATATTGATCAGTCAGTGGGTCTAGATTTTCTTTCCTCTCATAACTCTCATAACTGCAATATGCATTTTACTTTTATAAAAGTTACAATATTATTAATAGTGGTTACTGGCTAACACCCCTTAATATTAATCACAGAATAATACGCTTGTAAAATAATAAACAAATGCATTCTCTGCAACTCTTTAAACTCTATGGACCTGTTAGCAAGGGTAGATTTTCCTTTCCTCTTTTAATTATGCATTTGCATTGCATAGTTTTGTAGTAGTTACCAAATAATTCATAGTGGGCACTGCATAATAAGCCTTAATAACAGAGTAAGAGCCAAGATAATAAGGAGCAAATGCCTTCTACTTAAACTTTTAAAGTTTTAGGAACTTTTCAGAGGATTCAGATTTCACTTCTTCACCAATAATTACATACCTTACATGTTTGTTTCATACAAGTTAGCAAATAATTCATGGTGGTTATGTGGTAATAAGCTTGAAACCTAATGATGGAATAATACACGTGGACAATAATAAGCAAATCCTTTCTACTCAACACCTGAAATTCAAAAGACTGGTCAATAAGTATAGAATTTCCTTTCTCAAACTCATAAATACTCTACATTGCTAATTAGTTTCATGGCAACTCCTGAATAATTCATAGTGGTTACCGTGAATCAGCTTGAACCTAAATGAGTACACAATAAAACTACTTTACCCTTTAAACTAAGATTTTGTTTCTTTGCCCATAATTATACTTACACTATGCTTACATTTTATACCAATTTCCAAATAATTCATAGTGGTTACTGGTTAACAAGCCTAAATCCTAATAACTGAATAATAAATCTGGAAAGCGCATACCTTAAACTTAACCCTTGAAATTTAACATCACCATCAACCAGTCTAGATTTTCTTTCCTCAGTCATAAAAACTTACCTGACATATAAGTTTCATAATGGTTGGCAAAAATTCATAGTGGTTTCTGTGTAATAAGCCTGAATCTTAATAACTAAACAATAACCCTAGCAAATGGCTTCTTGTCAACAGGGCCAAATTTTGCTTCTTCACCCATAATTAAACATTTCACAGCAATTTCCAAATAATTCATAGTGGTTACTGGATAATAAGCCTGAAGCTTAACAAATAATAAGACTGGAGTTTAAGGGGTTAATCCACATCTGTTACGGATCACACATCATGTCATCGTCATGGACTGACAGTGTGGCTGTTGTGTTTTTTTTTCCTTTAATATCTGTAACCTTTTCCAATGCTTGTCAGGCACCTGCTCCACGCCCTACTGCATTTATTCATAGCTTCCTCCTCTGTGTTCAAGCACTCTGTAGTTATGCGCCTGGACTGTCTCTAGTGTCCAGACTCACAGCAGTGGCCCTTGTGCGGGCCAATGGAAACTCTGACCTATATAAGCGTGCAGGCAGGCAAGGCCTTCAGAGCACCTCGCCCTGGCTTTCCCGCTCAACCAGGGCCTGCACTGGGGGTGCCTGCCAGATGACTGGGGCTGTCACTGCTATAATGGCCTACCATCTGCTGTCTGGCACACACAAAGGCTGGCAGTGTGCACGCAGGCACTTGGGGGAGGGGCTTCACGGGGATGAGTTTGCAACCCGCCACATGCCGTGTTGGGACACATCTAAACGCACACACATACGCACACACATTTCTAAACAAGGGATGATGCATGATTGTTTACATCTTCAAAGGGAAGCAATATCTGAGTCATGTGACTTTTTAATTATTGCATCTCTACATAAAACGTGACATGAAGACTAATTTTTAACAGAGGCAACTGGCTTCCTATAAATGAATTTCACATCAACAGGTTGTCTGTTCCTTTAAAGGGCCCTATCCTGCATGTTTCTTTGTGTGACTTTATGTTGCACTTCATTTTTCCATGACTGTTCTTATCTTTTTATTCCTTAACATTGACTAAGCTGGTTTTGTTACCGTGCATTTAAGTCATATGTGTAAATACCTCTGTTCTGATTGGCTGTGCTGTACTGCATTCAAATAATAGTCTCGGCCAAAATGATCCTTATAACTTCACAGTGGGTGGAGCTATACTTCTGTAGGCTGAATAGGTGGATATATGTAAATGTGTTTTTCTGTGACATCACAAAAACAATTCGTTAAAAAGCTTAGTCAGTGACCCCATCTAAGTACACACATCACTGTTAGTCAACAGGTGTTCGTTTTGGTCTTAGCCAGCATGCCTTCAAGCCCATACTGTCCAAAAACGCCAACCCAACCACAGAGCCAACAGGCCCTTTGACATCTCTCCAGCCAGTGTTGGTCCACAATAGCACAGCTTCTCTGAGTCAGAAGAAGAAATGATTTAGAGCACATGTGCCATGGGCTTGTAATGGCCCTAGGCAGCAGAAGGCATGTCAGTGGGGCCTTGTGCCCCCTCCATTTGGGGGCAATTGAGTGAATGGGCCTGTAAAACTAACAGACTCAGGGAACAATGGAACCAAAAGACATTATTTCATGGGCGAGTGGGCCCCTTTAGCCGGAGCAGCTGACCTGCGGAGGGGCCTCTTGTTCAGAAAGGGCGCGTGTCCGTGGACCCCAGGTTGACATGACAGCAAACTCACAAAGTCCACAGACAGGAGTTCAGCAGTCAGCTCCACATACTCCACCTGCACTCCTGCCATTAACACCTGGCTTTCAGATAGCACCAAAGAGGGGAACAGGACCCCACTGACAAAGATGTTGAATGTGCTTATGACATGAATGAGGCCAAACTAAGATATTAAGTGCCATGGCCACAATTTGTTCATTTTAAAGGAATGGGTTTGGCAAAAATAGAATTTACACAATCTTTCCCATATGTCCAATGTAGTCCATCAGCCAAGACATTTGGATCCTTCAGTTCTGCACTGAGGCTATGAGGCTAGCATAGCTCTCAAGTAAAGGAAGCTTATGCTACCAGGTTAGCACCATGCAAACTGTATACCTAAATCATGACATTTGCTTCAAATAGTCTTGCTTATGTGGTTCTGTATGGCACACTTTAATCTATAAAAGTGGACAATGAGACCTCACTGAAGCCAGCAGCCATCCTGAAGCAGGATTTTTGTCTGTGGTTTAGCCCATTTTTATAGATGACAGTATGCCATACAGTGCCAGAAACCACGTAAGCCAATCTATTGTCACTTAGCAACTCAACAAGGCCTGCATGTGGTGATTTAGGCCAGCAGCTTGCACAATGCTGAGGTGCTGAGGTGGTAGTTGTTAGCTACACATGCCTCAAACCAAGTTGAGTTTTTAAGTGATCTCTGGTAGATTAGCTTAACAACTCAACTTGGTTTAAGGCAAGCATGTAATGATTTAGGCCTGCAGTTTGCACAATGCTAAAGGTGCTAGTTAAAAACTTGTATTTCTTATTAGCTAGTTGTTAGCTACATGTGCCTCAAATGAAGTTGAGTTGTTAAGTGATCTTTAGATTAGCTTAACAACTCAGCTCGGTTTAAGGCAAGCATGTGGTGATTTAGGCCTGCGGTTTGCACAATGCTAATGCATATTTCCATTATCAGCTAATAATTAGCTTAACTTGCCTCATATCTTCAGTGCAAAGCTAATGAAGCAAAGCTCAGACACTAAACATGTCTTGGTTGATTGACTACATTTGGCATAAGAGGAAATTTGTGCAAATTAGATTTTTGTCAAATTATAGCTTTAAGAGACTTGCGCATATGGATTAATGATGGCCTGAGTAGAGCACTCCTGGCACACTGAATCTGCTGTAAACAGAGGCTCGAGAGAAATCACATGCGAGTAGGACTGAGACCACAGTATAATGAACAAAGCATTTCATTTTATTTTCTTTTTATTTCAATAAGTACAAGAGTCACATATGGTTATTGGCAGGATTCAGAAAGGCAGGCAATAGATGATGAGCAAAATATTGTCATGTTTGAACTTCTTGTGAAAATGCAAGTGGGATATGTTGAATGTATTGCGTTTCATGCACTGTTTTTAAACTGCTACATGTACTTACTTCCCTCAAAACCTACGATTAGGTGGTTGAGCGTTAGAAAATAGAATTTTTATATACACCTACATTAAAAACAAGACAAAAATGTACATAGACACATCAAACCAAAGACATCGAACAAATCAAAAATGCTTTTTTAGCTGTTACCTGCACTGTTACTTTAAATAATATTCAATCTTATGCTATAAAACATGGTGAATATCTTGGTGATTTAAGAACACAGACCTTGCGATTAATTATTTAAAGCTAAATTGCTGCTTGAAGACGTCAAAGTCCTTGTGTTGAAATAAACAACTGAGTTAATTAATTAAACAAGCTCAGTGCATTTGACCAACACTTGTTTTTAATTAAAATGCCTTAATGCAGACATCTTCAGTAACCTCTAATACTACTCGATAATTTCAAATTGAGCCCTGTTCTTGCGCAGTAGAAAACACTGGTCTGACAAATGCTCTACTGGAACAATTTCACAAGGGTCACCTTCGATACCAGCCTTCAAATTCAAAATATACGAAAATCAATACATCCTACATCTCCAAAGGACTGTGCTTGTGTTTCTATCTATTAGTATGGCCTCTTCATTTGTGTTTCTCAGTAGCAGCTAGCCTTCGATTTCACCAGTAGAAGTACTGAGTGAGAGAGAGGAACTCTTATCTGTTCTTATTCAGATGCCATCCTAAAAGTCAGTGTTTCATTTTTTTTAAAGAAACATTTGGCCACCACCACTACCATCACAAAAAAAATCATAATAACAGAACTCACAAACACTACAGGGCACTTTACAAGGGGAAAAAACACATAGACTGAGAACAACCCAACATTTAAACAACATTTAAAAAGTGCAATTTGCCTATGTTGAACATTTTGGAGGCTGAATGCTGCTACCTGTATTTAAACTGGTTTGAACTCAACAGAGATACAACTGTGGAGATGATTTTCTGCTAACTAGATTTAGACCAATCAGAAAAGAACGATTAGTGCCGGTTTATGTCATTAACATCTGTTGTTTTTTTAGAAAAGTGTGTGATGGAAGGTAGCCAAAATCCTTTTTCTCGACACGACGGAAAATAAAATTAAAGATTCTCTTTATATCTTTGCAATAAATAAATTAGTAGAGATTTAATAAATACAACCTACAGCCCTAAATGAAGAGAGAAATCCACTTTGCCAAGAATGTGAATGTCTTGGAATGTGTTACTTCTGCTAGACTTCTGCGCCTTTAAAAAAAAAAAATCAGTACCAAAACATGATTTATGGTAAGATTGACTAAAGCAGCTAAGATGCTATTCGTTTAGGCTGCAGTCACAGCTGTGTCTGTCAGCAAAAAGGTAGGTTTGTTTTTTTGTTGTTGTTGTTTTAGTTCTTTTTTACATTTTTTTCTGAAACTGGACAGTCCAGGTGTTCAATAAACATCGCAACAACTCTAATTTTACAGTAGAAAATAAATTAAAAAACGAAAATAAGAAACAAAAAGAGGTACCCTTCCTTTTGACGCTACTTCGCGGATAAATGCTGTACAATACATTCAGTGAGTGTCATCCGCATAAACGGAGCAGAGCCTTCTTGTTACGGTTTCGAGCCGAAACAATCACATTGCAAGTGCTATCCAGTTCCTTCTCCGAGCTCCTCTCCTTTACACACAACCACAATCAGTAGTGCAACACTGCCAGTGCTCTCCAATCCTTAAGACGCCATGTTGGTAATAAAAAATCCTCTAAAAACAAACACGCTAAAAACCTGGAAGACAGGCTGGTATGATCCAACTTTAGGAACTGCACCCTAAATATTTTTTTTTGTTCTTATCTTGGTTGTCTGGCATTAACATGAAAACAAAAGCAATAACAAAAATGCTTTTTCTTTTATCATATTAACAAAAGACAACCGACCTGTACACGCTTCACCCACAAATATATCCTGTTGTAGCAACTGTTGCTAGGTTGGAAAAGCATTACGGAAATCACATTTAAATGAATGAGAAACTGTAGTTTTTGAAATTTAGAAGTGTTATTCACTTTAAATGATGTTTATTTTGCATGCATTCACAATGTTAGTATAGACTGCATGTATTTTGTCATGCAATCAAGCTAACTTGTCTTTTACCTGCCTAGTTTCAATTACCTCCAATAGCTCTGTAGCATGTTAAACTGAAAACTCAACACTACGTAGCTGCTTTTGGGGTGAATGGCATTTTTCTAACATTCTGTAAAGCTTGTCCAACCTAGCAACGATTGCTAGGAAAGAACCCATTTGTGGGTGGAGCACAGATAGATCAGCAGAGACAAACCAGAAAAAAGGGTTTAATTCCCTTCCAACAATGTAATACTCAAAACTGTCTCTCGCGATGCTGTCTACACCTAAAAAGTTATATGATAGTCTGTTATATGATATGATATGTCTGTTCAAATACTTTGACCTAGGTCAGCGAATCAGCAACTACTGTTGATGCAAAAAGTGTATTCCTAACAGGTAAACAGGTCATGTTCTTTTAGTCACAAACCCAGCTATGTCTACCTCTCCAGAATCAAAGCCAAGTCTCTAGCGTGCTTCTTTGTGTGTTAAAGCAGCCTACTCTGAAATACATTGTCATATAAGTAAGTCTTTAGTGAATATATACAAAAGAGGTGGACGTTTAGTTTCCTATGCCAGATTGTCTAAAGGTGAAGCGCGGGGACGGGGCAGGGACGGTTGCTGTAATGGAGCAGGGCGGAGCCAGAGCTTACAGGACCAGCGCTCTCGGAGTGCAGGGCAGTTGGGACGAGGTCAGGTAGCGCCTGGCCTGCTCCGTCATGATCAGCTGGTCCTCCGTCTTCCCAAACACCACTGCCTCCCACTCACTGCTTGCCTGCAAGATCAAGGAGGATTACAATTAATGACATAGTTCCAAACTGAACTACATTTATATTCAATTTACATTCTGTATCAACAGGTTTAAGTCTATACTAGTTGTTGTTCAACAGGGCAAAACTGATTTATTTATTTATTTTTATTTTTTTTTGGACACACAACTATAAATTTTCTTCTTCTGCTTACAAACACAGGTGTGGAATCGAGTGAAAGTTTGAAAAGTGAGCAAAAATTCACATAAAATAACAACATACCTATTTTATGGCGACTACTATGACTTCTATGGCTTTTAAGCATTAAAGCATTTCAGAACAGGGTGTATAGTATACTAATGTCAACTACTTGTAGCCACTCCTTGTCCATTCTTCTAAAGGCTCTAAGCAATAGAAAGGCATCCTACCTGAGTAGAGGTTTGGTAGGTGGGGTTTCTGTGTGAACGAAGCTCTTTTTTTGCCTGGGGGCTGAGGGGATAGATAAGAGGGTGGGAGTCCTCCTTTACTGAGCCAGGAGAGCAGGAGAGCTTGTCTCCCTCAGCCAGAGGGGGCAGCAGCAGAGTGCTGCTCAACAACCCATCGTTGAGAGACTGGGGTAAAAGAAAGAGGTAGCACAATGAAAATCATGCATGCCCAACAAAATTAGTCTAACAAAGAGCAGTAAGGGAAGGGTTTGTTCAAGTTTTTTTTAAGAATATAGATAGCAAAATGATCATACTAACAAACATAAAAAACAATCCTACAATAAAGGACTTTTGGAGCTGAAGTAGTTGGTGTAATTTTAACAGAGGAGTTTGCATAACGGCCAATTTGTAGATGATATTGTACGTCATTTTCAGATTGTAACATCATGGCCTGGATGTATATCAATCTTATACAACAGGCACAACACACAATAACAACATGGCACACAGTGTGTCTATTAACATGTTTTTGGTCACATTAGTGAATAAGGCATGAGGTCACTTTGAACAGGACTTCTATTAGTGAGGAAGCTCTGGGTTTCAGCCAATTTCAGAAGGCCATTCACTCTAGAATTATTACTGTAAAAGATTCAAAGTGGATTAAAAGTAGCCAGTGTTCACTTACATTACAGCAACTCCCCAGGTAAAACTAATACATCTAGAATAGGGCTTATGGAGGCCTAAGACATCAGCAGAGACTATGATCAGTGTCCTTACTTGAGCATTAGTGCTGATCTGCTGCTGAGTGAACAGCTGCACACCGAGGCATTCTTTCCCCCAGCTGTCCAACAACAAGGACTTCCTCACCTTCCTGGCAGGAACATCCATCTAGAAAACACCCAAAAAATTAGGAGGAGCAATCTGATAGACAGAAAGACTTAATAATTAATTAATCAATGAATCAATTAATCAATAAGAAATGCTTTGATACTATACCTCATAAGCCCTGTGTTCAGAGTGAGTATGTCCTTGAGTGAAGATATCCGACCCTGTTTCCTCCCTCAACACTTCTCTGATATCTTCTTCCAGGAAAGCCAGTGGCTGCGGCTGCATGCAGCAGAAAACACACTTTCTTATTGCTCATATTCTGAATAGTGGTGGAAATTACAGACAGGCACAGTATATGGAGAATTAGGGCAAAAAGCCACAGAGGCACTGGCTAATTTAGACATACTTACCACAACTTTTAAGGGCCCATGCATCTTCTCCTGAGCTGCCAGGGCATTTTTGAAAGGAGTGGGTGTCCTTGGGGTGTGGACCATTATGGATTTACGGATCTTGGGTGTTCTGAAACTGAGCAGTTTATTATCACAAGTTTTATTACTGTACACAATGTTGCACAATCAAGACACTTGTTGTCTGGTGATCTGTAGTTTTGCACAGGAACTATGACACTAATATGGCTAACAAGTAATAGAAGCTTGTACACACAGTAGCATTATGCAAAAATGATGACTAAATCACACAGTTGTGTAAATTGCATTTTAGTCAGGACCACTTCGTCAAAGAAATATTTTATTTCCATTTGCAGCAAGTTATATTTGGCAGTATGGCTCTTTTATGGGACCATAACATAAAATGACCCATCTTAGGGAAGAGCAGACATCAGTGACAACAAATGACTTTGAATAAGTCAGATACAGCAGGGAGGAGACGTGGTGGAAGCGGGTTGCAAAGTGGCTGCAGACAAAGCGGCGACAATGGGCAGGTTAAAGCAGCTTAAAGTGCGCTGGTGAATATATCCAATTGTATGCGCAGCCGGCAATCAGCTGAGTTGTCATCTGATTGAGATTAGCTAATAACAGCAGTTGAATGTGGCCTAAGCTTGACTTCGTGGCCTGCCTGAACTAACGCTATGCTTGATTAATTTGTTCTAAAATCAAGTAATTAAAAATAGACTTGCTAATGTGGTTTCTGATACTGTGTGACAGGTTATCTATCAAATGGACAAAAGTACATTGCATAGATATAGAAAAAGTACATTTATACTGAAAAATGTATAGATTTATTATGCATAGATTTATGTCATATTGTATCTGAGAATATACATAAGCAAGTCTATGTGAGATTATGTAACAACTCAGTGCAGCTGTTAACAATGCAGTTTGCTAACTCATTATAAGCTTCTACTGCTTGTTAGCTAAATTAGCCTTGTAGCTCGAGTGCAAAAATACGAAGAAACAAACTATGGCCACCAAATATGTCTTGCTGAATATGTATGCATAAACTATCCTTTTAAAAAGACCAGCAGGGTCAGTACAGAGAAGACTTTTACCCAGCATTCTCTTTCTGATGTTTGGGTGTGGTTTCCCTCTGGTGTGGCGTGTTAAGGAAGCATTTCTGCCCACACACTGGAGTGGACGTAAGTGCAGGATTGTCCAGGTTCAAATGCTCAGTCCCGGATATGTTGAAGAACTGAAGTGAAAGTAGACAAAAGGCAAAAAGCCACATGTGGGTGAAACAGAGAAAACCTGAGCACGGTTAGACAGCTGTGGTTTTGCTGTGGTTGGCACTGCATACCTGGGAGGGAGAGAACGGTAACCCTTTCACTGGTGTGCCTTTGGGTGAGCTGCTGGTGGTGTCTCTAAACGAACTGCAGTTTCTTTCGGCGGTGGGTGACTGGTCTCCGTTTTCTCTCGCCTGCTTCCTTGGGATGGATGATGGTGGGGAGTTGAATTTGCTCGCAGACCGAGTGGTATGAGCAACAGTCTTTCCCTGCCCAGCTCCAACTAGCGGCCTGTTGATATCTTGGACAGCAAGGCCGTTGAGGTGGTATCCAATGACCTCTGCGCTGCTCTCCGGAGCTGGGTATGCCCCACCAAGGCCGAGGGGCTTAGGAGGACTCACGGCCTCAGATAGGTCAAAACTAGTCACCTCACTCCAGGCTGTGGGATCCTGCAGACAGACACACTTATAGTTGATAACTTATTCCTCATCCCAATAATAACTTCACCAGGCTTGAGGGTTGTGATGTATTAGCTACAACATAATGTGCAGTGCATAATAAACCACAACAACTAATAGTCATTTTTCTCTAGTAATAATATGTTATGGAAAATAACTCATATTTGCAGATGATGGGTACAAGCTTTCATTCTCTGTTGCTCTCTTTGGTATTCCTGGTAGAAGATTTCTACTATAGAATGCTTCATTTTATAGGCTTAGTGGTCCAGGGTATGTCTTCCACTCACCGAGTCAATGAGCTCCATGGTTTCTGCAAACTCAGGAATGGTCTGCAGAGTGGAGAGCACAGCGCTGGCTTCCACTGCCAGGAACTTGCTGGGAGAGACGTGCAGCGGAACGGGCTGTGCATGAGTTTCCTCCGCACGACAGAGCTCAACACCGCCCTCCTCCAGACTGCCAGTGGTGGTCACAGTGTCATCTGCCAGACTGTCTGACCAGCTGGAGTAACTCTCTGGGTTCTGAAGAGAAGCAAACCATTGTGAATCAGACAAGTGAGTTTAAAGCACAGTCTAGAACAAGATGAGAAGCAGTGATGAGAAGGATGAGCAGTGATGAGGCTCAGGATAATGAAAAGATAGGTAGAGGGGAAAGTAACAAAGTGGTGTCCAGGTCAGTGAATAAAGTCTGACAGCAGAGTCAGCAGAAGCTAACCAGTAATCAGTTATCTATAAAAGAGAAGCTTGCCTGGCCTAGCAATTAAGTAAATTCAACTTTTACAAACATTAAGGCAAATAAGGCAATGTTTCACCTGTTCACACTGCTACAAGAGTTAAACTTTACTCCAGACAAAATAGTGAAGAATTAACGGATAAAATACATTAAATTGGGTAAATATTCTACATTTCTCATCATTTTTCTTAAAAGGTCCACTTTCTAGACATTTTTGGGTTTATGTACCAGAAACACCCATAATTAATTTTTACATTTTTACTATTTTGCAACATTTCAATAACCTTTCTAATTTCACAGTTGTATGCAGAAGTTTGAACACACCTGGTCAAATTACATGTTTGTAATTGGCCATTATTAATGGCCATTTTATTGACTGGCAGTGAATGGTATGCTTTAAAACTTTACATATGAATTCTCTTATGTCAAATAAAAAGTGAGGGAACTTTGATTATCCATAATACAGGCCCTTTAAAATTTAACTGTCGGAGATGGCGCAAATAAAGAAAACATAAACGAACTGACATCCACTACTGTCAATTTACAAAGCGTAGAAGGAAAATAAAGCATAAAAACACATTTTAACAATGATGAAAGCAATCTCTTCCAAGCGAGTTTCTCTTCATCAGGCGCTCTCATGCTGTGCACTAGGATGTGGTTACTGACAGCAGGCCACTATCAGGTGGGGTAGCAGCGAGGGTAAGCTGGGGTCACCAAGCGCAGCTGTTGGGGGGAAGGGGTTGGGAGGGTGGGTGAGGGAGATAATGGAAGAGCTAGTGAAGCCTACAGCGCACTCTACTCTACGCGCACACACAGTGGTTCTTACACGAAGGCCGGACTGTCTTCTGACTTCATTCTCAGCCGACATAAGCAGCAGCTCTAGCTCCTTAATTCGCTGCTCTTTGTCGGGATCGTCGTGGCACGGCTGTGGGAGAGGAACCGGGAGGAAAAGAAGAGAAGGAAGAGACGGGAGAAGAGACGGAGACAACGAGTTTACTGGCAGAACAAACACTTCATTGGCTCTGATCCCAAATTCCACCGGGTATTATTTGGAATACATTCTTACATTTTTCAAATCAGGCTAATTTCACAATAATTCTAGTGAAAGGGCAGAATTATACATTTAGACCACATTTCATATAGGCCTAATGTATGACAGATCTGCAAAATACCCACGGTGCAATTCAGAAGAGCGATTCTTAGAACATCAGCACACGCATGCAGTTCAGACACACAACACAGACTGGTGAGTCAATTCTTTGATTGACAGAAAAGAAGGGCAGGCCTCTGAAGGAGGGAAATAACACAGAACAAAACCCAAGAAGAGGACAGCACAAAACTTCCACATTCAGAGCAGCACTCACCGACATGAAGCTGGAGCCCTCTGTGACGCTGTCCATGCACTGCCCACTCACAGAGCCGTACGAGTATCCAGCCAGCTGCATGTGGAGCAAATAAAAATGCACAATGGCCCTTATTCATCAGTGATTTAACCACAAATCGAGTGCTTTCCAGGTTGTTAAATTATTTCTCTTAAATGTACACACACTCCAACCACATGTGGGTTAAATAATCCAAAGATGAAATTGATCTTCAGCCATGAATTGAGTACAGTGTTGCCTAGAAATGTGATGTTTTGGAATACAGTTAAAGTATATTAATATTTTTTAGTTTTAACTAACATAAATGCCTCAATCTGATATCTGAATTTAAGGTATTGGTCAATATTGAGTACCAATCCAGTATCAATACATGATACGAAGTACATCAACATACAGTCGAGGCTGAGGCTATGAAGATATCATAGTACAGATACCAGAGACCAACACCCTTTATTAGAATTGTTCAAAATTTTAAATTATATTGTTTTAGGATGTGTAAACTGACTGTTACAATTTTATAACATTTACAACTAAAAATCAGTATTGCATGTGCACTGGTCATATCTGACTGAAATCTGATGCAGTATATTGGGTCAGTGGATCAACAGCTGAGAACAGAGTAATGAGATGAACTGCTACTAAAGGACATTGAAGGCATCATTACCTGGGACTGGTCATTCATGAGCAGCTGGCTGTGGCTGTGCTGCTGCTCCACACTGTGGCAGGCTTTGTGTCGTCTCTTCATAGGCTGCTCGTTGTTGAAGCTCCTGTTGCCCTCCTGCAAATAGCCCTCCTGTTCCACCTTCCTACGCATGGTGGAGTTCCAGTGGTTCTTAATGGAGTTGTCTGTCCTAGAAATTAAAAGTAATGTGTTGTGTGAATAGGGTGAGAATACATATGACTGTTTTTATACCTTGTCAGAACGTGAGCAACCGCCAGGGGCAAGTATGAGAGAGAATGCATCCACAGCAGAAATTCAGCACAGTGAGATACTAAAATCGGATTAAAACCACAGTCAAAAGTACAAAAAAGCACATCACTATCTTTTTAAACTGTTGGTCTAAATTGCTCGGCTAAACTGCATGGCTATCAGGGCACCTGAAAGTTGAATAGAATTTTATTATACATACATACATACATCATCTAAACCGTTTATCCTTCTGGGTCGCGGTGGGGTGCTGGAGCCTATCCCAGCTGTCATTGGGCAGAAGGCAAGATACACCCTGGACGGGTCACCAGTCCATCGCAGGGCATCAGAATTTTATTACGTTATATTTAAACCCAACACATTAATACAGATAGTAATAAGCTAATTATATAAAGAAAATCATAATTTGAGAGTACTTTCTATTAGTACTTCCTATTTGTTTTTATTTTGAGTTATTTTAAGTTGAAATATTTAGATTTAACATGAGTTAAATTTTCAAAATAAAAAAACACACTAAACCTGTCCATAACCTTAACCTCAGTAACCTAAAAAAGGTACGCTATTTCAGCTTTTATACCAAGAGCATTATGTTGTTCCTTACAAGGTAGGATGGTTCCGCTATTCTCTGACACAAAATGGAAACATCCTTTATGACACAGAACATTGTACCTTCCGGGTAGCAGCTTTGAAATCTCAGCCCAGCGGTTGCCGAGGCGTTTGTGTGCCTCATAGATGATACGGTCCTCTTCCTGGGTCCAAGAGGACTTCTTCACCTCTGGGTTGAGGTGGTTGTGCCAGCGCTCTCTACACTGCTTTCCTATGCGGCCCTGCAGGTGCTTAGCTATTACTGACCATCGCTTGGGGCCATACTTATGCACCAGCTCTATCACCTATGTAGACACAAATCAAATAAGGGAGAAATCAATTAGCAAAATGGAAAAAGAAAGACCATAGACAGATTTCAGGATTTCAAGCAGCTTCAGCCTTCCTTAGATAAAAATGTAAGATATTTTAATGGGATTAAAAACAAGGTAACTGTAGTAAAACAGAAGATCTCATAAATCTCCGATAGGGTTTGAACACTGAACCGGCATTCATAGGATTCTTTAAGCACTGATGTCATTCCATTACCATGCAGGGAATGCATTACTTCATCTCTAAGCCATCTGGTCCTAATCAGTGCTTACCCAGGGTGATCGGCGCCTCATAGGGTTTAGGTCATTCTTATAAAAGACTGAGTATCACATTAAATATGCTTTCTATGCTATACCAGTGACCATTACAGTATGAATACTCTAAGGAAACATTGAAACATTGAGCAGATCTTACTTCCTCTGCACTGTAAGTAAACTGTGTCTTATCATATATAGGACATACAAGCCAAAAGCTATGATTGGGTTTAGTGTGACAAAAATCTGTCAATTAAACTATCCATACTCTAAGCTATCCATACTCTGCCCACTTCTGTAGCTTCTAAACTTTGACAAAAGTCCTATTCAGTGTAAAGCGAAATTGTAGCATATACCTTGGTTTTTGTCAAACTACTAGAATGAATCTCTGAAAGTGTTATTTGGATGGGACCAGTTTTACATGGGAGGTGGGGTGATGTTATTATTACTTGTATTTCTCAGTGATTTAGTCCCATCCAAACCCACCATATCAGTCATTTTTACAGACTGCGTGCTACAGCATTAGGAAAGATTACGGCAGCTTTTACCCACTATAAAACAAACCACAGAAATAGGCCATACTGATCCTGTGTGAATTGATATGTCTGCCAATATTCCATCATATCCAGTAGAAAAGTAGTTTTCATGTTTTTTGGGGGGGATTTGGAGACCTCGCTCATGGAAATGTGTAAGTGCAAGCAACGTGTGGAAAAACATCACCCCCCTTGAATCTGATGATTGCAAGTACACTGAAAAAGTATTTAAAGAGAACTCAGTCAAAACTTGCTGCAGGACGTTTCTTCTAAGGATGTAAATGAATTATCTACTATTGTAATATCTTTATTAGTATAATATTGATTTTGCATTTGAGACCTAAACAAGGAGCTGGACCTTCTTTTTAGCCTGTATGTGTGACGTTAAAACGCAAAGACGTACAACATGGTTTAAAAACTTCAATGAAATCCGACCCACAGCTCTAACTTTTAAATTATTATTTTAGGCTTCACAGGGTGACATATTTTAGTCTCCTGACTCAGGAATGCCACTTCTTATAATTTTAACAAAAAAATCTTACATAGTGCAGCTTCAAGCATGGTGCATGTAATTGTAGTGTGGTCCAGATAAAACCATCATGTATTGTCTTACCTGAAGCTTATAGTTCTGAAAATGACAAAAAAGTGGCAATGACTGCAGGCTATTCATAAGCTATTGACGATCCTAATGACACACTGCATTTAGTTAAGGCAGCTAGGTAGATGGTTAAGGTAAATGAAATTACAACTGAATTCAATGTTTTCCACTGTGCAGCTGAATGTACTGTGTAAAATGTGTAAACTGAGTAGCCACTCCAACCTCTGTAATGTATACTGAGATTTCCTAGCCTGCGTGAATTGGTCATGACATTACAAACGTCCTATGGTAAAATTACATTACTCCACCCTTCCTCAAGTAAAATGAATCCCATCCAAATAGCACTTTGGATTGACCTCAGCCCTGTTTCAGTAGTGTTGTGAGCTACACTGTGAACTTACATAGCAAAAAGTCTAAAACAGTCAAAGCTGGTCAACATCCTGCTTTGAACATCAATCAAATGTTTGTCCCTAAAAACTTTACCTTCTGTAGCATTTGTAAAGCTTGTCCAACCTTACAATCGCTATGCAAGCACACATTTGTGGGTGGAACATGGAAATGTCAATTATGCTCAATTATAACAGTTTTAAGCAAAATCCGCAAGCCTAAGCCACAGCTTTTCATAAGACTCTTTATTGTGGTAATGTCTCAGACATGTACTTGAGTGTGGTCTAAGCCACGTTCAAAAGTCATTATTTCCCACTGCACACCTCCTCTGTTATTCTTATGTTGGTGAACGCCCAGCTCATCTTACCCTCTGATCCTCCTCTTTTGTCCAAGGCCCTTTCACCAGCTCTGGGTTGAGGACCTTCTGCCAGCGGTGCTGACACTGGCCTTCTGTCCTCGTCTGTCAAAGAGAAACAAATAAAATCCCAGCTCAACACCTCCAGCTAGCACACACCTATAATAACACCTCTTTAATCCACTATAACAATATAATAACATCTCTTTTTGACCTATTATAATAGTATATTTCCACACTTACTCACAACCAACAAACTATTCTTAAAATGATTTTGGGTATTTTAAATACTTTCAAAAAAGCTTTACCGTTTTTTGTTTTTTTTACTTACTGGGAAATAATTAGCGATTAATTTCCATGCTTCAGTACCGTGCTGCTCAACAAGCTTTTTAAGCCTCTCGTCCTGGGAACAGAGTGAAGAGAGTCATGAAGAGTTCCTTTCCTAAAATGACTGGGCTACTTCATCAAGAGTGTTAACAGTGCTTCAGGAAGGATGATGGCTCACCCACTTATTTTGCACTAGGGAATGTCAGGGATTTTCCCAGCTCTTACTTAATATGATTAACTGCAGTCTTCAATGTAACAAGTGTGCTAAAAAAAAAGCAGTTCATTGAATTTCCTTCACACCTTGATTCAAATGTGTACATCATTTCCACATGAATACAATACACAGTACTGTAAATTTTAATATTCAATAGGGGAGAGTGATATGACAAAAAATAGTATATCATGACACTTCAAGACATTTTCACGATACACAATATGCATCATAATGGTGTTTTTTGTTGAGATCTGATCAGTTGGAACTGACAAAAAGAGCCTGTAGTGCTACCACAATAACAACAAAATATCATCATATGGCCCACCCCAGTATATCTGACCAGTGGGTCCAGCCTTTGCATTTATTGCAGTTTCCATTCTTTTCAGGAAACTTGCTTTCAGTTTTTCAAAGAAATCTGCAGGAATATTTTTCTATACCTCCAAAGTTCAGTCTTAGATGTTGGTTGTTTCTGCTTCTCACAATACAAGTAATTAAAAGTAAGTAAACAAAAAAGTAAAAAAGTAAATAAAAGTAAATGCATTCAATGGTATTGAGGTCTGGCTTTATCACTTATTTTCCGTTTGATTTTCCTCTTCCAGTATAACCAATGTCCTCAGAAATATCTCCTTGTACTTGTAGTTGTACTTAGTGGCCATTTTGACTGGAAATTAAATAAATGAAGGGTGGTCTCTGACTTTTGCATAGTACCGTATTACAACACAGCTTTAGCTTTCAGTTTCCCTACATTAGGAAATGATTGTGTTGAACAGATTTTATTTGTGTGAAAATGATCAAGAAATCAAGAATAATCAAGAAAATTCTATGCATCAATTTTTTAGTGTAATAATCTATGCTAACATGCTATCAATTAGACCTTAATTCACTAAAATTAAGATATATGCAAAGGTCAATTACCTCTTCTCTGGACCATTTAACTTTGCAGAGCATCTTTTTAGAGTTCTTGGGGTCTCTGTTGTCAGGATCTGTAGAATGACGCTCATCGTCCTCATCCTCACTGAGATGGAGGAAAGACAAAGAAAGGGAAAAAGAGATCTGTAAATATATCATCTCAACTGTGTTTGAGTAGCAACAATAATCCAAAACATATTTTGTGGTTATCCATTAAAGTGAACCAGTTTATCAGAGCCTTGATGAATGTATGAAAATAGGGAAATGCCACACTGGACAGCACATTAACTGGACATGTCTATCTGTTCCTGCCATTGTTTTACAGATTTGTAACATGCTCTGTAGATCTTATCTCATCAGTGTCTGTACAACCGACTTACAATCATACTGAAATAGCTTCACTGTATTTTCTTGCAACTGGCTGAAGCAATACGCACTGCACTTCAGCCTACAGGAATGCCTCGCTGCTTGGCAACAGTTCCCCGCACAGTGAGCTGCCGAGTATTTAATCGCCACTGTGTACTGAGGAGATGAGTTGTCCTGGGATACCAGAGGGCAAACTTCATACCAAAGCACTCGTCCAAAACCAAAAGCAAAGTGACAAGCATTTTGTCCTTAGTTTAAGATAGTCAGCTTCGACTTACCAGTGAGTTATTACTTTCTCTCAATGTGTACTGTGCTTTGGAAGAATGTGGTTGGTATTTTGGGTATTTTTGTAGTGATTTACTGTCTAAAAATGTTAATCTCTCTATTTCAGTTCTTCCATGCACTCCGCACGCTCCTATGCTGTGAGCTGTGAGCTGTAAGCTGTGCAGAGGTAATTGTAGGCCAAAGTCCAAGTCTGTCTGAAAAGGTACAAATATGGAAATCCAAAATCCCACTAGGCATGTTTCTGGGGCGAACAAGGCCTCCTATTGGTTGCAAGTGTTGTGCCCCCAATGAAAGAGGTATTTCAGCCAAGAAACATGCCAATTGAATTTTAGCATGAAGCTCCCCCTCTGGGAAAGAGTGAGGAGGGACTCTGAAATAAACGGCTTCTTTTTCCTCCAGAGGTGAGCTGCTCACATCACTCAGTCAGGAGGCAGGCGGAGCGGATGCTCAACCAATGGCAGAGCGTACTCAGCCGGCCAGCCGAGCCTGAGTTTTCAAATCTGTCCACTAAAATCACGCTTGCTTAAAGAAACAAAAAACGTAGTTGAACATCAAAGTGAAAAGCTGCCTGGATACAGCACACAAAAATGTATGCTTTACACTAGTGGTGTGATCAGATTCTGAGATCAGTGTTTATTTTGACTTTTGATATGTGTTATAAGCTACAGGGCTCTAACTATACAGTACATAGATTGTTTTGGCTCAGAAAAACACACATTTTATTTAGCATGTGCAAAACTTTACTCTTACAAAACAGTGGAACTGAGCTATATATAATACAACATGAGACAGGACACACCCAGATGCCTGGTTTTGACATTATAAGTGGATTTCACAAAAAACAGCAAATGAGGGACCCTCTGAAAAGAGAGAGGGGTATATTAATATTACAGCTTTAAAATTCAATGCATTAGTTTTTTTTATTTTGGGATTCTGTGTTGAAAATCCTGTATTGAAGTGTTATGAACATGAACATGAGTGGCTTTCATCCACGTTAACATCAGCAGCACACTTGATTCCTTTTGAAAACAGCATCCAAACCTGAACTACTTGTAAGAAACAGTTTCACCCCTGGCCCCCCTCGAGAGGCACACAGAAAGGGGCAAGAGAAGAAACACACACACACACACACACACACACACACACACACACACAAACACACCACAGAGCTGTGCATTCATCCATAAATTACGTAATGGCCATGCTTGAGTGTTTAGGCTCTTCAAGCAAGCTCTCCATCTCTCTCATTCAATAATTTTTGCTGCCTTATTTGGATAACGTTAGTTGTTCTTTGAGCACTCCCCATGTTCAACATGTACTCTACATTCACTGTGTTTAATGTATCTGTAAGTAAACAATCCTTTTTCTATTTTTTTTTGTTAGTTTTTTTTAAAAGGGAGTGGATCTGGAAACACTATGCAATCTAATCTCACATATTTAGATCAATTTATGTGATCTATATGATATTTTACTCAATCTACTTAGAATACTTATTCCACCTGCTAATTTATTTCAGAGAACCATAAAGGTTCCTTGAGGGTTTCAAAGACATTTTTGTGGTAGCTCCATGATGACACCATGGAATGAAGATGAAGACAAATAGATAAACAACAGTTCCATTTTAGAACTATATATATACAGATCACTGAAAGTGTAAATTAAGCTCATCATCTACAGTAATACTATAAGATCTATAAGATGTCTAGATGCATGGGGTGGAAAATATGCTGATATTTATAATTACTGTAACAAATGCAATGTCATAGTATGGTTTTCTGAGCCCGTCAACACTTAATGAAGTGACTAAACATGTCTTACCACAAAGAAAGCATAATCGAGCCTGTTCAGTTGGATTTAGTGCAGTGCAGTATGTGTAGTCTTCCATAATAATCTAAAATATTTTCACCTATTCCAGTAGAACTGTCTTAACATGAAAATATATTTCTCGTATAGTTCCCTGTAGTGAACTAGCTATAGTAGCTAATTGTCAGAATGTACAGGAATCCTGTAGAAATATCTGTAGTTTTGATGTAGTTCTTGCTGATAAGGGAAGTTGCGGGATGACAGATCAGTGACAGCTCACTGCTGCTCAGCTAGCTAGCTAGCTAACATTAGCAACACACTGCTGCTCAGGTCAGGCTGGTTTAGCTAAAGCAGGGAATATCTGCATATCTTCATCACCATCGACTATAAATTCATTTTAAATACATTTCTATACATGGACTCGTGTAGAGAAGAGTCCAACAACAGTTTTCACTCAAAATTCACACCTAGCAAGCTACACAATCAGTGAGTCACACTTTGCTAAGATATGCTACCTCCTCTATGACTAGGTTATAACAGGTATTACAGAAAAAAGAGGGGGTAACTAGTACAAAAATGTACATAAATGATGGTATGATGAGCTAAGTTGTCATATTTAACGTTACATTAAATTCTATACCAAAAGCGCGAAGCTAACTGTTAAGCTAGCTTTCGAACTAGCTTAAACAGACTGACAATACATTTAGACACAACTAGCAAAAGTTACAGTAAGTTTAGTTAGTAAATTATGCATCGGGAGAGAAAAAGAAAAGGCCTGTTTGAACAGAACTGGCAGTAAAGTTGTAACTAAGCAAACCCAGATGGTTAATAGAGTATATATAACTGTCTAACTAGCTAATGCTAGAACTTCCCCTAAGCTAATGTGTGGTTACCAACTTAGCAACTGGTGTCAATCACCACGCTGATTTCTCAGCGTTTATGTCATGCTTTTTTAAGATTAATACCTCAATGTCACATTTTACCGTTTTACCGTTTAAATCTAATACTCTATGAGGCAGAAACGCAATCTTAGTCTTAGGGTCTAAACCAACGTGTCAGGACCCATTCAAGGTTACTGTAACTGTAACTATGATTAAATGAGAGTTAGCTAGCTAACAGTTACTCGTAGCGCTCTACAGCATCACACATTACAAACAACAAGAACGCCGTTATGAAGGTTTAATATCTAGATCTACATTACTGACTCAAGATCTCCATCAGGTTCTCACCTGCGGGATTTCATGTTGGCCATGTCAGCTCTGCCGCTCAGCCAGTGACAGTGCTGCTTGTTATCGAAAGTAAAAAAGTGTCACAGAAATAATCCACAGCTGCAGCCACGTCTGAAATCCAAATATACACCGATATCAATGACATTTATCCGGACACAAGCTGCTCGTCAGGCAAGCGTCGAGTCGCTGTGCTTCTCCATTAAGATCGCCGTAGTGAAATTAGTGAATTTAGTGATCAGCCATTCAGTCCTGTTTCCGCGCAAAGGAACAACAAACAGCAGCCATCCGACACGAAAACCCCCGAAACACCTAAACAGCCGCCTCTGTGTTTCCCCCTAAAAGCACGCACTGGTAACGGACGGAGATCAGAAAGTAAACACGTCTCTCTGCGAGTGTTTTTGCCCGCCTTGTCTCCGGATCACCGTCCTCCTCTCAGCCTGATCTCTCCGCTGATTTGTGTGTCCCGCCGAATCGCGCGCTCCTCCTGCTGCTGCTCGGTTTGAATCTGCGCACGCGGCCTCGCCGCTGATTGGTCAGAAAAAAGAGGAGCGCCGAGTCAGTGGCGCCTGTGCATTACTGACCTATTACTGTGGCGCCTGTGCATTACTGACCTATCAACTCACCACCAACTTACCACAGACTTACCATCAACAACCACGAATTTACCATCAATTTACTACGAATTTACCATCATTTTACTACGAATTTAACCTAAATAGCCACAAAAAATTATCATAAAATTTGTCAAGATTTTTCCATCCATCAAACAACCTATCACTGCACTCAGCTCAGAATTATTTACAAATGTAAAAACGTTTATTGCCCAACTTTTATACATGATTCTTTGACATATTTGACATTTAAGAATTACTTTATTATTATTATTATTATTATTAAAATTCAAAAATAAAATGTAATCAATAAAATATAATAATAACAATAATAATAATAATCATTATTATCATTATTATTGTTGTTGTTTTTATCGATTACATTTTATTTATTTAAATGATTTGTTTATTACTATTTTAGTTGATTCACCATTATATTCCCATTTTCTGAGCAAATCTGCACTGTAGGCAGACCAACAGAGTCGCGGTGTTTTATCGCCCTCTTGTGGACAGTGATTTACCAAAAACACAAAAATACAGCATCCGCCTGAACATCACCAACAATGTACTATTACTTTACCATCAATAGCCACGAATTTATCATAAACTTACCAAGAATCCTTCACGGTACTAAGCTCAGAATATTTACAAATCCTAAAACATTTACTGATCGATTTCTGTGTGGTTCATATGTCACACATGTATGATACTAATTATTATGGGTATTTTTAGCAGTAATACTAACAATTAGTAATTCATTTATTACTTTTTATTTTTAAATTAAAATTATATTTACAGTGAAATAACAGAATGTAGGAAACTTCTCCTCCTGTGGTGTTTTATCGCCCTCTTGTGGACAGAGTTTTATATGTTATGTAGTTACTTATGACTTGAATTAATAGCTGAGGAACTAAAACACAACAACGGCTCAGCATATTAAACAAACAGCTCTGTGACTCTACGGCTAAATTTCCATAATAAGTCGCGCTGCAGGCGAGCGTGTTTTGCACACGGAGTTAAAGTGTTTAGGAAACACAATTATAGTCAATATCAAACTGGTCGAGGTGCCCTGACTTCCCAGAATGCACACGTTCAGTTCCCTCTAGCTTCCCCAAAGCTGTAAATAAGGAACTTAACATGGTTTTCCTAGCGACAGAAAATGATTCATTTCACTTAATTTTATTTATATAAAATTTACGTATACGTTTTTCTGCTCTTTTATTTTTCCCCTGAGGTCCATTTATGACGTTTGTGTTTGAGTTTACATACCAAAAACTATTGTAATTCATATTTACAACTATTTTCTGACCACTGCTCAGAATTAAACAGGCTGTATTTTGTTACTGTGCCTTTATGACTGAAATATGTAAATGAGCTCTGTTCTGATTGGCTGCCCTCATGCAAAAAACAGTCTGGACTAAAACATTCTTGATAAATTCAGTGTGAATGGGCGGGGCTAAACTGCTGTAGACTGAACGGGTGGATATATGTAAATGAGATTTTTTGTGAACTCAAAACGGCCCGCTTAGTTTCCACATATGAACTGAATGGACTGAAGAATGATGGGTACATTTTAAAACTTTAACAATGTTTACATACCACATCAAACTCATTTTAAAAAGGGGAAGGAAATTTCCATGACATTGGCCCTTTTGTCTTGATGTAGTCCAGAGAAAAATGAATAAATGCTTATTTAATAGGAGCATAAACAGTTCGTTTTTTATAATACAGCCTGTATAAACACACATATGCATATTTATAGTATTTAATACAAACATAAACAGTTAATATTCATCATGTAGCCTACACACCCACAGGCATTTACATTCATACCGTGTAGTTGTGTTGAAGTTATTTTGTCTGGTCGATAGAGGGCGCTGTTGCTCGCTCGCTACACAAATATTATCTTTCAAGTTTTGTCCCGTGACAAATAGCTGCGGAATTTCGGAGCAAACGTCAGCAGCTGGCCATCTCAGCTTTTCATTTGGCGGTTCAGAAACAAACAGCAATGGATGAAGGAAAGTCCTCCCTGCGTCCGTTTGGTCACCTGAGCCTTTGATACTGAAACACACGCCGAGTTTGTTCTTCAGCTTCTTCCTCTGCAGTCCGACACGTCAGTGGAGACGGTTTCCGTGGAAAGCTTGTGAAAATAAGGCAAGTCACAGACAAACTTCTGGAAAAAAGACTTCATAAACTCAAAAAGTGTGTAAAATAAGCTGAAATTGATGTTTCTAGTTTTGTTCCGTTCTTCTAGAGTTAGTTGTTGTAGCTACAGGTCTTAGGTTGGATTATGTAATGTTTTCATCTCCACACTTCAAGCCCATTTTTTCCACGAGGCTGAAATTGGCTTCGAACTCGAATTTTCCGTTCCACCTTAAATGGCACAGGCGGCAGAGGAACTGCTGAGGACAGGCGCCGCGATTACCTGCGGTAATTCATGCGCCATTTAAGGTGGAACGGAAAGATTCCAACATAAAGCCAAATTCAGTTTCGCACAATAATGTTAGCTGAAAGGAACGAAGGTCTTCTTTTGAAAAGTACACGAAATACTTGAGAGCCGTAAGCTGTTTCTTTAAAAAATGTAGTTTAGTCGTGAAATCTTAACTCGAGTTTAGTCAGGTTGGTTTAACGTCTGTTTACAATGAACGTGAGCTGATCCAGCTTTAAAAGCCCTGGCTCATTTTCACCCATAGTTATCCTTCGCAAAATAATGCCCCCCTCCCTAAAACGTTTTATAGCTTTCTGTGTGTAGGGGCATTTATACCAGCTGTAACGTTATACCACACTAGCCGAGGATATTATCAAGGAACCTTGAATATAAAGTTTTACTGCTAGGAAATGGCTGCATTTTATAGTACATGCATGCTTCATTTACCTTCAGCATCAAGTAAAGAGGTGGGTTATACAGGGCATTTATGATTCATTTAGAAGTAAGTGATACAAGATCTGGCTTTTACAATTGATTGAACTCAGACTTTAACATTTCAGTTTACATTCACATTTACAGCATTTAGCAGACACTCTTATCCAGAGCGACTTACAAAAGGTGCTTTGTCGATCTAGAGAAAGTATCTTTGCTAGTTACCAGCAGGTTAGAGAGAAAGCCAGTCCTGAGCTCAGATACTGCTAGAAACAAAAGTCCCTGTTGATACCTAGAGAAAAAGGAACAGAGTTAAACACAGCGCAGTGCAATGCAATACATTTTAATAAGTATTCATTACAATGAATACTTAACTCAGTGCTCATTTAAGTGTGTTAATTAACATTAACATTATCGATATCAGACATTAATATCTAAGAGTAATACGAATGATTTGTGCATTTCTTATACCCTTCATTACTGTTTTACGCATCACAGTAATGGCATGTTGGTACATGTATTTGTGTACATCTCTTTTTGTTGTGTGTTGATTGAACCACCTGCTTGACTGAAGAAAGTGAAGAGTATTCCGTATACACTTAAAAGAGATGGTTCTTCAAGGGTTCTAAGTAAAGGCAGTGGTTCCATTTGGAACTGTGAGTTCCATATTAGAACTATTTTTGTATGGTGCAGTGGTTCTTCAGATTGATGGAGAATGTATTGTACACGGATCTAAATAGAACTAAAAAGCATTCTTCTATTGTTACAAGGCTGACATTGTAACAGTAGCAGAACCCTTTTTGGTGCTATGTAGATCCATTTTCAAAGAGGTTCTATGTAGAACCATGTACAAAACATTCTCCATCAATCTGAAGAACCATTTCACAGTGCAAAAAAACATTTAGCATGCAAATGATTCTATATGGAACCATTGCCTTTACAAAAGAACCCTTGAAGAACCATCTTTTTTAAGTATGTATAATAAGATCAATGAATACAATAGCATTTAAAGAACTGATTCACTGAAAAATCTAAATTTTACAGATTTCCCTTCATCCTAACGATGACTGACCAGACACAACGTATTTAATTTACAGAGTTTATTACTTTAGTTTTTGCACTAAAGCTAGGAGGCTAATGTAGCGGACAAGTAGTGGAAGCCTAGACTGGTGACATAGACTTGTATTTTATTAGCCTCATAGCTCTGAACATCTCTTGGATGACCAACTTCATTTGGCGTAAGAGAAAATTGTGTAAATTTAATTTTTTTTCTTAAACCGTTTGTTTAAAGAGAAATTCTAATATGTTACACAATTAAGCCAGTAAGTTGTCACCAAAGTCATTTATATTTTTTTTTAGGTTTGATGTGAAAATGTTTAAATATGGAGAAATGCAGAATTTTTCACAACAGTGGTGATAGGAACCAGACATCCGAAATGCTTAATGACTCTAAAAGCTATGTCAGGCTAAGTTGTTACATAAAATGGTTATAAATACATGGCCTACTGTGATCTCAAACTTTGTTTTATGGTAGTTTTGAAAAGGGTTTGGCCTACGGTGTATTTATAAAATAAATGCAGGCCCGAGAGTTACGTGAAAAGCATTTTAAGGCAAATAGTGCTCAGATAAGATGTATTTTTTAGGATTTACCACTATTTTACCGTTAAGAACATCATCAGTACATAAAATGGCTATTTGTGTTTTAGACTTTGCGACTCACGGTTCCTATCACCACCACAGTAAAGGAATCTGTGTCGGGAAGTTTCTCTGCAATAAACCATTTCGCACCAAACCATTTTCAGCACCTCAGTTTACATCTGAACGATTTAATAATGCAGTAATTTTGCAAAATTGGTGGAATTCCTCTTCAGGTACTTGGCTTAGAGTCATCATCCTGGGTTAGGCTCACACTGCATAATAATGAGCACCGAAGCATGATTTTGCAACACAAACTTGCACCTAGCTATGAAAAGGAGGAAAGG